CACTCCCGGGCACTTTCAATCTCTACTCATATCGCATATATTCATATATGCAGATAAGTCCACATAAGTACTTGGCGTTGCCAGAACCTATGACCCTGCCCCACGTAGGGGATGGGGACGAGACCACAACAGTCATGGCTTCCGTTAGACGGGCTTAGGCTGCTCGAGTCGCACGCGTGGCAGGCCACGTGTGTTATCATTGTCTTAATAGGTTGCTTTGTAAATAAGAAAAATCGGTCGCTTGGAAGAGTAGGCAGCAGGTTGATGAAAAATATTAGCAAATTCTGAATTTCGAAGATGTCCTTTCAAGAGTAGGATAGCGGAACTAGATGAAGGAACAAATTAATATTATTTCTGCTGGTCAGAAAGAGTTAAGTCAACTTTAACCTTGGATTCAGTTCCGTTGTTCCGAATCAGTTAAGTTTGCAAAGAAAACGTTTTTTATGGAGAAATGGTTGCCTGCGATTTCGATATAGAAAGGCCCTAGCAACCACAAAACGAACATATAACTTTGTTATTGCTGTCGCCGCTGCCTTTGTTACTGCTGTCGCTGTTGACAATGCTTGGCATGAGGCAGTAGAGCTCGTGCCGCTCTCCAAGCCCGCGCCAGAATACTGTTACCAGCTTCCAGTTTCCCGAAGATGCAGAGAAGTTCAAGCCTAACACCTGTGGGTGCTGCTAAAAATATTGTAAGACGGATGAAGAGGAGAAGGAATGAACTGCTCATGCTTCGATTCTCTTACAGCGTCCGGCCAAGTCCGAAATAGAACTAAACTTTAAACAACCAAAGTCGTTACACCCAAACAGTGCCAGCAGCCAATAGCGGAAATCACGTTTTTACACTGCTGACGTTCGACGTTCGAGTGGCTAATGTACTATATGGTCGAGTGGGCTGATGGGCTGAGTAGGGGCTTGGAAAAAGCCGACCCAAGTCTGCTTCCGACCGACAGCGAAAGGGGTGGACAAGGTGGGGCCGGCGTGGGTGGACAGCACGCGGAAGGTGTGTAAGGATTTATGACGTCGCTGCCGGCGCTTGGTTAACACATGTTCTGGCCCCAAACCCACAACCCATTTCCCTTACCATTTCCTCCCCTCCTCCAACCTGGCGCACTCAGGGAAACGACAAACGCTAGAAGAATAACAACTCGAAGTGCTGCGCAGCGGTATTTGTAGCTTTTACACCCTCCACCTCCGCCGCCCCCCTCAAAACGTGACTGTGGGGAAACGCAGCTCCCTAATAGCGGGTGTTAATATTTTTATGGCCGTGTCTGCCGGGCTACCTGCTCTCTGACACTGTCAGCCAGATGCACTCTACCCAAAATGTGTCTCCGAGACACTTTTCCAGGCCTGGCTGTTCTCAAGCCAATGCTGCAGGGCTTTTATTGGCTTTGTCAGCGGCTCGTAAAGTCAAGTGCATCATCAATATTTACAGGTCTGCGACGCAATATGGCGACAGTTTCGACGAGTCCGTTTTGGCCATAGCCCAAGGCTGCAGGACGCCAATGAAAGTAAAATGTTGCCAGCGTTGCGAGTATTACTGAATTAGCTGCGGCATACATATAGATTGTGTTTCGACACAAGACTCTGCTGTCTGTTTTCATTAACCCGATCTATGAGTGTCCTTGCCCCAAATACCCGATTCAGCAGCTAGAATACAACCAATCGCTTGACCTCGACCAGCTTTCATTTTGAGCCATTTAAGAATGGTGACATGAAAATGGCACAAGAATGAATGGCTGCAAGATAATTTGCAGCGAGAGCGACATTAAAATGCACTTGCCAAATAAAAACGAGCTCTGTAAATGGGCAGTCGGCCAAGAGCCCCCAAAGCGCCCGTCCCCATGGGCCGAAACAATTGAAAGCAAAAGTGGGGAAATTCAGAGACATTAATGGCTACAATTTCTCAGCAGCTGGTAAGTAATTAGAAACTTTGCTGAGGGGGGCCTCATCTCGCAGTAGATGAGGAAATTCCATCGAGGCGATTGCTTTGAACTTTTGAAAATGGATTGGGCTCATCATTCGCACAACATACAGTCTCGATGAGCTCCGGAGTTTCGGAAACTCAAGAGGAAGCCCGAACAGCTCCATTTCAACTTTTTCTTGATTTGTTCCTTCGAGGTTCGAGTGTTTTTAGAGTATTCAAATTGCACTAATACATATGCCAAGAAACTGCAATATTCAATAGCAAGCTGAATGGCAAAATATGCTGATAAATAAGCACGAAAGCAAGGTAGGTAATGTATGCGCGGAACTCGACAAACGACAAATTGAAGTTCAAGCATCGTGCGGCGAAGCCGAAACCCCAAGCTGAAAATGTGTGGCGGTAATATTTTTAGAAGCGTATGAAGAGGATCGGGAGGTATGGCGTGGTGTGCGTGGGTGGAACTACACACACACTCGTACCTACTTATTTTTATATGTGTTCGAGTATCCAAACGCCTGTGAACATGTGGCGGCGTATGTTTTAAATTGCTCTCGCTTGCACAGATGTTGCAATATGCAAACAAGCGGAACAGCAGCCACCGCCAGCTACGACATCGAATACAAGGTATCAGTTAGTTGGGCCTGAGGAGGCGCGGAGGAATTCCCTCCGTCTATTGCTCCATGCTTATTACAGAACGCGACTCCCTACAGCACATATCTCCATATTCCATTTTCCCTGTCACTATCAGTAGTAAAACATGGAACTGGTTCCGGTCACTGTGATAAACCAATTTCTTGAATCGCAAATATAAAAAAGTGATTACGAGAAAGCGTTTGCCATTCTGATTAAAAATACAAATATAAATCTATAAGAATCTTTAGCTGATAGCAATACACGCTGTAAGAGAGCTCGCTAATTCGTTTCGCTTTCTTTCTTAATTTGGAGAAATTTAAAGTTGTTTTCACACAGAAGATTGATGCAAAAAAGTCCATTGATGTGACAGACAGAATCTCAAAATACCTTGCAGTTTTACTTTTAGTCGCGCACACACTTCTTGGTTATTATCACCACATAGACTGGTTTTAAACCAATCATTTACCTCACTTCCTTCCGCTTCTTTCCTCACCTTAATTCCAATTTGGCTCACCACAAAACATAAATGTGTTAAGTGAGGAAAAGACGAACTAATATACCTATATTTAAACAAACATTTCCGAGCTATTTGTCATTTCGGAGCCGTGCTTAAAGCGAAGGCCTCTTCTTCTTTTTTCTATGCGAAGCCAGTTTACGCACACAATGAAAACCGCAACCAGCCAAAACAACTCTAAATTATTGCCTAATGATTATCAATCGAGGCACGTTTTTGCAAATCACGTTTCGCAGTGAAAACAAAACAAAAAATTTAAATATTTATGTGGCCATACATTACTTCTACCTTTATCTTAGATTGTTGGCAGTTTCTTGTTTGGCCAATACCCTTCCCACACACTAACACCTTATTAGTTTACCAAGTAAGTGAGTCCTTAAATAACTTCGGATCACCACCTGTCCGTCTCCCTGAATAAAACGGTGGTTTTTATGCGATAATACCCAAATACATTTCCCTACTTTGGTTTGTTGATTCGAATGCAGAGCCGATTCATTGCCCGCTGGCCATTGGCCAAAATTAATAAATGCGAATTTATAAAAATAAACAGAAATAAGTGCAATAGCCGCCACACACGCCGCCAAACGAATTGTTGATTCTGAAGTAAACAACTAGGAACGAGAAAATCGACAGAATCAATATTCTCAGCTGACCAATTCGGAGATTTTATTATTTGTTTTAATCAGTAAATGAAAACAAATCATTTTACTATTCTGCCTCTCAAATTCTCTATACGAGAAACTAATTCTGAGATGTGGAATAAAATTTGAATATACTGAATTAATAACTCTTAATCACTTCTTGTACTTTAGCTACACTTCACCCGCAAACTGCACGAGCACCGGGAAGACAAACGAGTTTTTTGCCCCCACAATGAATTCTGGCTATGAAATGATATTTTCAGCGTATTCAGACAATCCTTTGCTCTTTATCGGGTATTTCACCTGGTTTAAGCAGATTCCCCGTTGTCACTCTCTCACAAAAAGCATAAGGCATGACACTGGTGGTGCAAGTATGTGCATTAAGCCAAAAGAGAGAGTGCGAAACCTGAGGGTCAAAGTCACCAGAGGCATTTTTCAGCTTTGCCTTCTTTAAAAAGGCGCACACTTTTGTACATGTAAATATGTATGTTCATAATCATGCTTTTATCGGCTAAGCTATATCCTCACTTTTAGCACCAAGAAGCAAGGCCTTTATACTTATATTAATAAATCTTAAATCTTGGAAATGGTTTAGATATACAAGCATAATCGGAAACTATACTATATTATACTTAATATTCCAGGATCCTTTTATTGAAGCCACTTAAAAGGGCGTGAAAAACAGGTTTTTGACTTTAAGAAGGCTGCAGAACATTCGAGTATAATTTAGTTAGGGGCTATTCGTGACACTGTGGATCGTAGTTCCTTAGTGGTAATGTCATTTGTTACACTCCACATAGTGGACAAAATGAAATTGGAATAGTTATCTAGACCCAGGACTCAGTCTCATCAGAAGTCTATCCATTGGCACAACGGCTGCTGTGCCTGATACCTTGAATTCAAAAGCCAAGGCAGTTGATTTTCATCCAAACCTGATTCGCGTTCCAAGTCCCTCGTGCCTCTTCTTAACGTCAACTGCACACGCCCACGCTTCGTCCTACGGCTATTCGTTTTTATGCGGAGCCCAGGGAGCCCATAAAGTATTTTTTTTTCAGTTTCGTAGTAAGGCATTTTAAACGCATTCGAACAAACAGCAACTAAATTTAAAGTCACTTTATATTTAGGCAGTTTTCAATACGCATTTATCTTTTAAAGTGCTTATCGGTTGGGGTGGCGGTTTGCAGTGGCAGCATTAAATGAGTAGTTTGGGTTTTTAATAGGCACCCTTATCGCCTGATAACAGACCTCCAATAATTTGGATAAACTCCATTTGTCTCTTTCGTTTCAGTTATTAATCAACACTCGCAGAAAAGCAAGTGCGCCCCATTCTGATAAGAACCAAAAACAGATGAAAAACTCCCGCGTCATGTATTTACGGGAAATGCTTCTACTGGCCTGTCTTTTGCTACTCTTCGGGGGACTCCCGCATCTTACTTCCCCCACAACCACCACAACCTTAGTGGCGGCCATGTCCATCGCCAATCAGGACTTGGAACGGTACTTCAGGCCAGGAAACGGCACACACACCTTCACCGGCATGGAGGACCGTATTGCAGTGGACGTATACAACTACGCCTTTCTCAACTGGTCGTATGTGGAGCACGGAAGCACGTCGTGCAGCATGGACTTTCCCCAGGAGCAGGCGCGCTACGGAGAGGGCAAGGTGTTGAATGTCACGGGGCGTCTGGTCCACATCAGCGCCACGGACAACGTCAGCGACGACTACGCCTGCACACCGTACATCCGGGGAACTCTGGGAGCCCCCACTCCGGATAAGGATGTAACTTGGATAGCCTTGGTCCGTCGAGGACGCTGCACTTTCGAAGAGAAAGTTAAACATGTCTACCAGCAGAATGCGGCAGGCGTTATTATCTACAACGACAAGCAAGTAATGCAGCTGGAGAAGATGCAGATCAAGGGGAAGACAAGTGAGTTCCAGTCCTGATACTCCAGTTGGCAACCTGCTCATCCTAATGATATGTTTTGTTTCTGTAGGAAACATAGCCGCAGTGATAACCTATCAGAATATTGGCCAGGACCTTGCCATGACTCTTGATAGGGGCTACAATGTGACTATATCGATCATCGAAGGACGACGGGGTGTACGCACTGTCAGCAGTTTGAATCGGTAAGTTCAAAAGTAAAAAGTTAAAAAATATACATATATTCCTATTCCAATGGAGACGCCGGGGTTTGAACCCGGGACTTCTCACATGCGAAGCGAGCGCTCTACCACTGAGCTACGTCCCCATAGAATCCTCGAAACTTTTGTGTAATTATTCAGGCTGTGCCAATAACATATTGCAATTTGTAACTATCAAAAATAACTGCCTGAATGCAAAAAGAAGAAAAATTCCACATATTTACTTTCTTGATAAGCGCATTTCAAATTTTTGCATTTTCCAGTAATTTTCTTTTGAGACCCCGAATATTAAGGATAAAAAGGTAAAAATGCTTATAAATTCTTAATGGAAAAAAAGATTATACCATATATTTTATGGAGACGCCGGGGTTTGAACCCGGGACTTCTCACATGCGAAGCGAGCGCTCTACCACTGAGCTACGTCCCCTTGTTAGAATCAAGTGCCCAATTGTTAACAAGAGCCAGGTCTACTTTATCCCATTCTCCGAGTACTGCATTGCCACGATAACGTCGGTAAGGCAGTTTAGCAAAAGTTTAAAGTAACCGAATTGTGTACACCCTATTCCCAAGTAACAATAATATTCGTTTTAGCGTAATATTATTATTTATATCAATAAAGTTTTTGTGGGTTTTTGAGATTTTGGAATTTACGCTCATTGTCGACATTTAGTTAAAGATATCTTAAAAATCAGGCCCTATACAAAAATAAATTATTTAAAAAAAACATAAAATGATATTATCTTAAAAAATTGTTTCTCCTAATGGAGACGCCGGGGTTTGAACCCGGGACTTCTCACAAGTTTTTGTGGGTTTTTGAGATTTTTGAATTTACGCTCATTGTCGACATTTAGTTAAAGATATCTTAAAGATCAGGCCCTATACAAAAATAAATTATTTAAAAAAACATAAAATGATATTATCTTAAAAAATTGTTTCTCCTAATGGAGACGCCGGGGTTTGAACCCGGGACTTCTCACATGCGAAGCGAGCGCTCTACCACTGAGCTACGTCCCCATGGCGCAGTCGGGCACCAATTTCCAAGTACAAGCACGGCCAATAATGTTCTGCTTTGCCGACTCTGTTGACAAGCAGTGTACACTGCTTGAATTTATGGTTCTTGAATTAACTACAATTAAACTTCCAAAACCTAAACCAAAAAAAAACTCAAGACTGAGTCTAATTTTTCTGCAACTTATTTTTTAGAACTTCGGTGCTGTTCGTGTCTATATCATTCATCGTTTTGATGATAATATCGCTGGTTTGGCTCATCTTCTACTATATTCAGAGGTTCCGCTACATGCAGGCAAAAGATCAACAATCGGTAAGCGATTTTCTAATAAATAAAATCAAACCCTAAATCATGACAAAACCACCCTCCCACGTAGCGCAATCTGTGCTCTGTTACTAAAAAGGCCATTATGAAGATTCCAACTAAGACGGGAAAAATAAGCGATGAAAAAGACTTGGACAGCGACTGCTGTGCCATATGCATTGAGGCCTACAAGCCCACGGACACCATACGGATATTGCCGTGCAAGTAAGTGACCATAAAAATGAAGTTTCCAAAGGATTTCTACTAAGCCACGCAATTTCAGGCACGAGTTCCATAAAAACTGCATCGATCCATGGCTTATCGAGCATCGAACCTGTCCCATGTGCAAGCTCGACGTGCTCAAATTCTACGGATATGTGGTGGGTGACCAAATATATCAAACCCCCAGTCCGCAGCACACAGCTCCTATTGCTGCCGTGGCTGTGGCTCAGCCCTCCATCGAGGAGGTGCCCGTCATTGTAGTGGCGTTGCCGCAGGGGCCGCAGCCCCTCCAGCAGCTGGAGGCCAGCAACATGAGTAGTTTCGCTCCTAGTCACTATCTCCCGCGTAGTCGTAGTCCTAGTAGTAGTGTCCAGCAGCAGCTACCGCCGCTTGTGTATCAACCCCACCCGCAGCAGGCGGCAGCAGAGCGGGGCAGACGAAACTCCGCTCCTGCCACAATGCCTCACGCTATAATTTGTACTGCCAGTCATCAGGTGACCGACGTTTAAGATATCCAGCCACCCACGAATTAGTATAGCACACAACGTTCTACTTACTGTGTACATACGGGGAAATGAACTGCCCCGCGAGCAGAGCAGGTATTCAATAGTAAGCCGTAGTAGTTTTAGTTCTTGGCTAGATCTAAAACGTTTAAAACCAGACCAATGTTCATACTGCTTTGGCAAGGCCTCGGCATCGAAATTTGTGTAGTAAAATTAAAAGATCTTAAGGAAGCCACAGTGACAGTCACAGTCGTCTGTGAAGTGCATCTCTGACAGCTCCAAACCAAATGTTCAATTATTCGATTTTGATATTTAAAGCTTAAAGGGTATGTTGTTATACTGTGTTATCGGATTTCACAATGCGTTTCATTTTCTCAATTACCGCGGGCAGCAGATCATTCGATTAACTGACTTGATAATAAAAGCTTAATTGCATAGATTGACGTTTTCCTTGGCTTTTCTAAGTTACACGTTCTGATGCCGACTAAGTGTTATGATAAATTCACTCATTTGTAAATAAACTCATTTGATAGCAGAGTACTTAAAAAGCTGAAAGAAGACTTCCATTTTAGTTTTACAGAACCCCGCGCACATAAATATGTACGAGTATCTAAGCAACAATATAAAATACCGATAGAAGTTCAACTTGAAACGGAATTATGATTAAACTTAAATCGTCTAGGGTTTAAGGTAGCTGTTTAAGTTAGTCTTAAGAGTAAGATTGTCGATAAAAGTAGACGAAGGGAATTACTTGCGAGTACTACAATAACTATGCCTACCTACAATACTATACCAATACACGTATAAACGATGACTATATCTTAAAGCTGTATGATCTTAAGGAACGCAATACTGTAGCAAGATCAGCGACTGTTTTGCTAGTCACGAGATATCGACCGATTAGACACTTAACGAGATACACAAACCGCACTCAGCGCACATTATGTATTAATGATTACTGTAATAGTGAAGGTGCCAAAGTATTTGCTTTTAGTTGATTGAATAAATCAAGAAATTTTAATTTACTTTAATTAGTACTGCTCTCTTTTATTTCTATTTGGTTTTCAATAGTTATTATGATATTATTATAGAGTACGACGTTTGGCTAACTGCGTTAAAAGTAGCTATTCGATCAAGCCAATTTCGAAATACTTTAATATTTATTTATTTTTGGTGAGTAATAATTTATTTGTTAATTTGTTTTTATTGCCCATAAAGCTTCAATATTGTAAAGATATTAAATTTGCCTTGCCCTGAGTAGTCCGAGTTTCAGATTTGTTTTTCAAAAATTTTGTTTTCATTTTCCTATTTTCGCATCTTTATCTTCAACCTAAAAACAAGACCACGCTGATCGGTTATCATTACGGTAAAACAAGTATAGATTATCTTTGCTAAACCCCTTTAACAGATTGTGGACTTAACATTTTTAAGAACCAACCAAATAAAAATATTGAATTTTGAAAATTTATTGGAAAATGGCCGCTTTTTTGCATTTAGAAACGCTCGCATTCTCTATTTTTGGAAAACGAACCCGAACTAGAACGACGTTTTCATTATAGTTTTTAGGAAGTGAGGAAAGCATTCTGGAATACCAGCCAGATCCTCCGCAGGGACTAACAATTGTGGAGGCAGCTAACGGCTCTACTGAGCCTTCAGCCGGAGAGACTCAGACTAGGCCAAGCGCCTTGGCGGATCTCATTCATAGTCGCGACTTTGTAATCGATTTTCCGCGGGTGTTCGTCCTCAACAGCGGAAGTGTTGTGGGAGCCCGTGATATGCTGTTCCCCACTCGATTACCAGAACGCTCGCAGAGCTCCCTGTCACTGAGACAAGCCCGCGATTGGATGAGCCTGATGACCAACAAGCTCGACGAGCAGCAGGGTGCGCGCCGGTTGCGTAAGGATGAAATGCAGCAGGTATTCTACACAGAATAAAAGTTTTCCCTGTGCAGATGTACTAAACTACTGTTTCTAACCAGCAACTTCTTAGTGCGCGGGAGTCGGCTCGCCACCGCCGATCGCGTTCTGCGGATGGGCGCTACTCCACCGGATGCTTTGGGGGGCGCCAGCGGCAAAACTCTGTCCAAGCCTCTGGCCAAGCTCAGCCCCAGCTCTACACCGATATTACCCAGCTGCGGCGCTCCAGCTCTTCGCAGGCCTTGCAGCAGTTGACGGACGCTGCCTATGCGCAGTCACGGCAGCGGCAGCGCGAAACCTTCGACTTTGCCAGGACGAGGCGACGATTCATGAGGCGTGAGAGTGACGAAATATCCCTGCGTTCACTGCCCAGGAGGAGTGGCGCCCCTGCTCCTCCCCGACAGTTGCATAGGGACAGAGAGGCCGACGCAGGCGGACTTAGTGACCAAATTACCATTCAGGTAAATGGGGAAGGGGTCGACCTCAACGAGTGATTAAAACTGCATACGCTTATTTAATGATTTACTTGTATAAAATATATTGCATCTACACTTTAGAAACTGTTAATTAATGATATTAATATTGGCTTTTGTGAATGTCTAATTGAGGAGAAATCAATGAGAAGTAATGTTCATAATATGTAAATGTACTCTTCGTTGAGCTTCTAATAAAGTTTGCAACTGATAAGCATTCAAAACTGTTGTCAGGTTCATTTTTGGGCTAGTTTTGTAAATCAGGTAAATCATTTTAAGAAGCACAAAACCGAACAAAAAGTGATGGGTATAGGTCCCTTCGGCCATCACTACTGAACTCGGGGCGAATTCCATTTCGGATTTGCGCGTGCTTCAGGGATAGTGAAGGAACGCAAGACACGGGCTGATCCCAGCAATCTGATATGTTGTTGGGCATCGAGGTGATCAGGGCAGACAGTCAGGCAGCCACAAAACCCAGGCAACTGACAACGGACCAATTCGACAGCTAAGAGATCCACATTTTGATCCCACCGAAGGCGAGGAGCAAGAGAAATAGAGCACAAGTTATGAGGAAGCCGAGCGGTTGAAGTTGCCGCGGACAAAGTCAGCTAATAAGAATTCATCATGCGCCGCACCAGGGAGCAGCAGGGCTGGAAGAGCAGAACTCTCCCAGGTGGAAAGGGAGGCAGGACCAGGCGTCGCCTGCACGCGCCGTAATTGCAACGCAACAGGAGGGCCGCGGATCTCTGGACCAGGAGCAGTCCAGAGCACTCCAGCTTCAGAGCCACTCCATGTTTATAAACTTAAAGTCTGTAATCACATTAGGGCATGTAGTCAGTGGCTCGGCCCTGGCTTTCCTGCCCAACTGTTGCAGCTTTATCACCTGACAGGGCTTTGCTGCTCGGACTCCACTTCTGCCCATCGTCTTACTCCTTCGGTTCCACGATCGCGATCGATGACAGCACGTACGAGCCTGGGTCTCCTCTTCCGAAATTGGAGGCACAGTCGCGTTGTGTTCTTTTTTTGCTTTGGGCACAAGGGGCGTGTTCGTGGTGGGCGTTGCACATAACATTCATGATAAAATTATTATATTGTTGGAGGGCCGCCGTTTTGGGGAAGCAAAAGCAAAAGAGGGCTACAGAAATGAGTTTTTTTCAGCATTTCCATACTGTAACTCTTAGCGACGATGTCCATGGAAACGCCGTAATTCCTTATAAATATTTTATGCTCTAAAAGTCTTTTCCCAATACATTATATTCATGTCTATTGCCTTTCCATTAATATATTCTAAATACAGTTACCCGTTACTCTGTGAACCAATAAATACATACATATGTACTTATTTCTGTATGTATACGGATAACGCCACCTATAATGCATGTATGCATCTACATATGTACATATGTATATATTCGTGTAATTTCGAAATACGGGACACCTAACCTAACAGTCGGCCAATAAATGCAAGGCTTTAAAATATGTATGGGGATTAATGCAACGACTAAGCTCCAATTAGCACATACATATATTATATAGTTGTAACGTACCTCTTGAAAGTATGTCGTCGGTCCTCTGCAGCAAAAACTGGCAGCGTCCAACCGAGAAAACACATTGGGGAAGCAACGGGTTGTAATGCAGCTTCTTTTTCCACGAAGGGGTGTTCTTGTCGGAGAACAAATTATTGTCTTGGGTATGTTTTGGTCACTCAGCTGAAGAATCAGTTGGCGGGAAACTCGACACTAGTTCATAGTAAACAACTCAAACAATTCTTCAGTGGCGTTTGAACTGGGCCTCAAGGGCCCACTATGTAAAACACACTACGTACATACGTATATTATTTGTTTTTAATAACATGGCGCGGATGAGCTCGTCAACAGATGGACGGACGACAGGAAAATGGTTAAACCTAACATTTCACCTTGGTCTGAACGACACCGAACAATGGCAGACCGGGACAGCCCTGAACTAGTCCAGGTCAAAAATAAGCTTTTGGATTTTTCCCGGTTCAAAATAAACACCCCCTGATGTGGCGCCACCAGTTAAGAAAGGTAGTGAATCAAAACTCACTGGCGGGTCCCTCCCGGAATGCACTTTATTATTTTATTCAACTTAAAACGCGCTTTGTTTTGGTCTTTCACTTTAAGGAGATCGACTGACAAGAGGCAGTCATCAAACTATCGATAGTTGCTAACAGCGCTGCCAGATCATTGATTTCTGCTAACTCTGAGCTTTATACAGGTAGGAGGACTGCAAAAACTAGAAAGCAATGCAATTTTGAATTTAACCGAAAAATGTGCATATAATAGGTATTTTTCTAACCCTAGCAGGTCGTTGAACATTTTTTTATATTCTGACGATCGCGGGACATTTTTGGGATATTTAAAATGAATGAAATTATTAATAATTAATAGTTGCTAATTGAGCGGTGAAAAACAATTATATTTTTGGTAGTTTTCGGTTTTAGTTTTATAAAAATAAAGGGACCGCTTCATAGAAAAAATTCGAAGTTAAAAAATCATCTATTCATCCCGCCCCGTATAATTTCTTCGGGCCAGGCTGTAGGGCATAAATAAATGGGCGCACGACAAAAACAATGCACCGTGCTGATGTGGCAAGTAGGAGGCGATGCCATTGAGGCGAAACCAATTGCACAGGCGGCAGATGTGGCTTCGTTCTACTTCTTCAGATGGTTGGTGGCACAAACCCAGGTCAGTTCACAATGCGATCACCAGGGCCGTCGCTAATCTACTGTAAATGAGTAACACGAAGCAATGGAAATCTTCGCTATTGACGATCCTCCATATGCTCCATGAATCCTGCGTTGGCTCGCCCTTCCAATCGGAACTAATTGGGAAAACAATAAAATCGACGTGTGAAGTTAAATCCAATCACAGAACAACCGAGGCCCAAGGATTATGGAAGTGAACGGGCATCACGGAAAGCGATATGTATGATGCAATCTCTCAGCATTGATTTAGGGGCCAGGAGTGGAGGAGGATTCAGCAGAATGTGTCAATATACAATATAGTTTGCATATACCTACTTTTAAGGTCTGCAACAGTTGCAATTTAAACTAAGTTATTTTCCTGTAATTTTCAATTATTTTACCATATGCAACACCAAAATTCGACATCTGAGCGGCATGAATTTAACTTGAGGCTCCCACATTGGCCTTCTATCGTCGCCCAAACGCACCCTGTTATGGGGGAACATCGTATACCCACAGCCAACCCATCTTGGAACGCTGCCTGTGTTAGCCTAAGGGAGGTTCCATACCGGTCCTTGGCTCATGAATATGTTATTTGGCCCGCCTTGTTGGTGCGAGTGATTCATAGGCCGGCCATCTCTTGGGGCAACTGTTTCTTAGTGCTCTTTACTCTGCGTTGGGCCTGTTGATGGCGATAGCGATCATGTCGATTGCTCGCTGATATAAATACAAATGGGCGAGTATTGCGCTGATTTGTCGGCTTAACTACAAAGCGAAGACTAACGGCAATTCAGCTAAGCCTTTTCGATTCTCCACAGCTTCATCCACGATCTTTGCGATCTAGATATTGTAAATCAGACCGCTAAGCGAACAATCTTATGCACTTCATTGTGTTTTTTGACTTCGTTCGAATTCAGTGATCGCAGGGAATTTTCAGTCTTTCCTTAGAATTTTGAACTCCAGCTTAGTTCATTCACAAGTAGCAGTACTGCTCAAGCTGATCTCAAAGTTAATCCATAAATTGTCGCAAAATCAAAATCCACCAAAATATTTTCTAGACATGCCTAAGCCCTTCCTGCCGGGCACTCCGGAATTCTCCCGAAGCTAGAACAAGTATACCCGAATATCCGCTTATATAGATCAGCGCGATCAACGGACAAAAACAAGCGTGCGAAAAAAGACAAGAAAACGGCATGTTGTCAAACGTTGAGTTGGCTCAGCCGCAGGCCAAGATTAAGTTGGGATATCGCACCCGAAACCGACGAGGCCTCCGAGATGAAGCCGAAAAGAATGCAGAGCGAGTCAAGGAATCAAGTCTCTGCGAGGGGAACGTGGGCGTTGCTGCATTTTGATTGAAATCAAACACAAAAGCAGATTACAATTTATTTATTTGGGCAAGCGTGTGGGAAAAGTAGAAGATAAGAAGCGGCCGAAGGTCTCAAGAAAGGATGTGTTCGGGAGTTGCGCGTGTGCAGCGGATTATCCTTGTGCACTTGCTACACATCCTCTGCCGAGTCGGCGATAAAAGCAACGGCATTTAAAGGCGACCAAGTTCAAGAGCCGGAGGAGGTTGAGGAGATGAACTCATCAGACAGATTCAGAACCAAAAAGCCGACGGCCACCGGCTCTGATCCCGTTCGCCTGCCTTGGACCCGAATAAATGCGGATTAGTTGCCCGAGAGGGTGCTAAGACGAGTAAACGCCTACACGGCCAAAAGTCATGTCATGTTCGGCCAGAAAGGATTTTGCCTGCCGCTGACACAATTTCTTGCACCTCACTCTGGGCACAGTTCTTTCTTTGGGATAAGGTAACCTGCGTAGATCAATATCTTCCTTCGACCCGAGCTCTAACAAAGCCCTCGGCACGGCTCGGGAATGTTGATTAGTTTTTATTGGATTTTCGGCTTAGGCTTAAAGAAATGCGCAATCTTGGATGCGAATCTGCTAACGAATAAGCAGTGAAATAGACGGCCCACCCCCAACAACCTTTCTATGCCACCTCCCTGGGCGAATCAAATTCAACTTAGTCATGCGGTATTACTTTGTGACGCTTTATGACCATCGCAGATCATCTTGTAGTCGCATTTTTTGCTTTTTGTCAAATTATCAATGATCAGCCACCCAATCCGGAAGCGGATTAGCACAGTATGATCTTGAGTTAGCAATTAAATGTGCAGTCGTAATTACTGATTTCCTTATTAGTAAGGATGATCAGCAAAGTGTGATAACGGACAAATTGAAACTATCTTTAAAATCGTGGATTTTAGTTCAAGTTTATTTAATCATTAATTAAGTATTCTCAAGTAAATAAAATCAAAATGGAAATGGCCACCGTTTCCACGACTTTTTGCAAGGATTGTTGCAATTCATGATGGCTGCCGCCCAGGGAAAAATAAGAATGGCATGTTCAACCCTCAAATGGATGGGAATAGAACTCGCAGCAACTTCAGAGTAGCCTCGGTCACACCAAGCGTTTATAACCGCCAAAAGCAAACATCCACCGAGCATTTCGAAATAAGCGTGAAAATAATCCATCTTTCCGCTAAGCAAGCTGCAGTCCGCTTCCATCACCCCGTCCTTTACTGAGACTTCGACGCACGGCATGCCTCGAACTCCCCTCGGTATCGTCGTTTGCCTTGGCTAGGATCATGGCAGGGCAGCTGCCCAGGGGAGAATGGCAGCAAAAAAGTGTCAAAAAATGTTTCATTTTAGATCTGTTGAAAAATAATGCTCCCGTCTTTGTCCTTTTCCCGTGATTTCTGCACGCTTCACGCTAATTTGCGCGCCTATCAAATAGGAGATGGCAGCGGTGGTGGTGCTGCTGTGCCCGTACGCACTTCCCTTTGCTCAGTGTCCGGGTCTGTATGCTTTTCCAGTTTTCCGATAGCGGCTGCTGCATCCTTTCGCATATTGTTTCACTCTTCCATCCCCTCCTGCCATGGGAATCACTTCCAATGGCGCGGAATATAATTCATTTAAATGATTGGGTTGTTTGTATAGACTGAATACGCAGGGAGGAGTAGCTGTGCTCCGCTAGCCGTGGAAAATATTTTTTCCAATCGTTCACAGAGTTCGGTACCTTTAGCAGTTGGTGGGTGTTCGAGTACAAGGAGATAATGTTTGAATCTTTATATAAAATCTAAGAGCTCCAGACGAGAAAGCTGTTGCCAAACAACCTTAACCTTAGCTTAGAGGCTGACAGAGCTTTGCTGTAACAAGTATCTTTGTAAATAGTGGAAATTACCAACAATTGACTTAATAACAAACGCTTGTCCCGCTTTTTGCTGATAAAAAAGCAGGCAAAGAAACTTTAAACGAATCTACTCGAAAGTATTCGAGCCGGACTCTGTGCGGTGAGAGCACAATACGGCTACAATTACAATTACAAATGCCAGTTGGCGGGTCGGCGAAAGATCAAAGCGAAGCAGAAAGCTGTGCAGGCTAGGAAATAACAGAAAATAACGCTGCCAGCGTGCACAATAACAATGGCAATACAGCTAAAAATAATAAAATATAAGCCAAGGAAAATAGTGTACAGAAAACGGCACAGACACAACGGCAACAAAAGCCATCGCATACCATTTCCATTTCCATCTCCTGCTCTCAAACCAAAACCGAGTTCATCGCCAACTTTCCCAAGCAATGCGAGTATGCAAATATATCACAGCCGGCTGGCTAGTTACCTGATGGATGGTACAGCCGAATGTTCCATGAGTCATCCGCATTGGTGGCCGCGGCTGCTTCCTCGATCCCGCAAGCTTAGAGCAGGTACGACACCAAAGTTACGGTTTGATCACAAGTTGAGCGTAAAATATGCTAAAGATCATCGGGTGTCAGTGTCTGTGTGTGCCTGCAAATAAGCGTAAAATGATCAAAGAATCTTCGCGCGCAATCCCAAGTCTACCTCGCAGTCCTCTTCCCCCCGACCTTTTCTCTGCCATCACCGGGGACAGGATTCGGTCATCTTCTGCAATCGCACACTGCACGTTTACTAACTACGTGTGCGCATTTTGTAAAATAACATTCAATTTGTGCAACCTGATCAAGCCATTGGAGCAGGCTCAGATCGCTGATCGCCCTTCGATGACCATCCAAAAGCCTGCCATAATAAAGAATCAATGTACTCCGTCGTAATCACATTTCTGCGATCCACATTTCAAGTCCCTCGTCTGACGATTGCGCATATTTTTACGCTTGCTTAAAACGGACGAGTGCCGAGCTCAAAGAAGATCGCCGACGGCTCCCACCGTCCCCTCCCGAGCCGAACTTCGTTTAAACTGCCACCATTGGAGATGGAAATTACACGTTGCAGACCTTGATGATGATTTCTGCAATTGCTGGTCAACAGCGGCGGCAATAACAACAATTTGTTCGCATAGCCAGTGCAGACAGCCTGGCTGCTGCCGCTTCAAAGCTGGTCCAATTGGCCAGAGTCGGCACCGTCATCGAAACCAACTCGCAGCTGCATTGCCATTACTCAGCCGATCTAAGGGGCTCCTCCCGGTCTGGGGGGTTCCTTATTGAATTATAATGTTATTTAGTTGCGGCTGCCGCTGCGGCTTCTCCATCGACGTCATCGACGGTGGATTGCAGACTTTGTGGAAGCGATCTTCCCCTGGAGGCTATTCTTCACAGCGATCGAAGACGCTGCTTGCAGTGGCGTATGAAGACATTGTAGGAGGCATATTATTTGGTGGTTTTTAGGTCCCTGCATTAAGTACAAAGGTAGTGTCTGGACATCCGTTACATAAATGTTGATATGCCACCTGTTAATATAGACACACTTGCACTTTGCTCCACTTTTAGAATGCTGCGCTCGATTATAAGCTCACATGCGTAACTCAAACAACCGGCTTATCAAATTTTCCACGCGATTCGATCGAAAATTCATGCGTAAGTGCCCTAAAGCAGTTTTGGATGAAAAAGGCACGCGAGAACCCTCCCTGAGGAACACGAAGCCAGAATCAGACCCTTCAATACCACACAGCGCTCCCAAAACAACGCCGAGAGATACGCTCTAAATTTGCGTTACGTAACGGAATTTAAAGCGTTCCTTATCAGATTGGTTTTAATGTTTTATCAACGCTCGTTGCTCACCGCTCCCATGAACATGATCATGGACGGCTGTTGTTGCTCCTCGGCTGCGCCATTTAATACGTAAATAATTTTTAATGGATATGTAATAAATATTTTTGGCGTGCGGTTCGAAGCAGGCGAATGAGTGTGTGAAAAATAAGCGGAAAATTTCCAAAACGTCAACACTTGAAAATTGTATATTAATTCATCAGCAGACGGTTCTATCTTAGCGGATCTCGTGTCGGTAATGGTTGTAAATTACCGCTAAAATCGTTTGCATGATCGATTAGGTGCAAGTACCATGGCATCCGCAGAAGAAGAGATATTTCCTTAACATCAGATATATATATATTGAAATCGAGAATAATTTCATAATTTCCCATCACCAAATCTAGCTTCCGGAGATACACCTTCAGTCAAATCACTTACCACACAAGAAGTCTGTGTTGAAAGGAAGAGGCCCGAATTCGCATGCTACCGACTCCTACTTGACTATCGAAAACGCATAAATCACGGGATTCTTTTCTTTGTCGGGAGGGCCTTTCAACAGTCTTGTCAAATGTGCCGCTACGCACTCCGGCTTACATCTTAGCCTTCGCCTGGCCACACAAATTAAATTTGTATAAAAATATCAAAGTTGGTGGCCAAACGGGACAAACGAAGCCGCAGGCTACTGTATGGCTTGGGAATGCCAGAGTGGAACCAGGCAACTGCCTTCCCCAGGACGAGATGTGCGATCAATTATGATTGTCACAGTTGACACACATTATCGCCCCTGTAGAGGCCCCGAACCTGTCGTCGTCGCAGGACCCTCCAGTTGCCTGGGCTGACAAGTTCCGGCGATACGAGCTAATTGATGTTTTCATTTGGGCACTCGGGCGGCCGGAGAACGTTTTCATTCTAGGTGTAAGTGCGACGCCCGCTGAGCACACATAATTGAGAGAAGCGGGAAGGTCCTGAAGAAAGACACCCATCTCCGAGGTCCTAGATCGCCCTACCTACGGCTGTACCAGCAGCACCACCCAAGATCTCGATCGGCTCTAACTAGTGCATGGGGAGAAGCCTGCTACAAGTACGAGCTGTGCCCTCCCTCGCTGTCAGTTTGTCAATGGCTTTGTTCACTCCTGTGTGCACTGGTTGTCTTTCGGGTCCTCTCATCTTTAGCCAGGCCCACATTTTGGCGGCATCTTGAAAGTCCGGCCTCAGTGACGTTGGTGGTCGCCGGGCACTGCTCATATTTTGCAGATCTCCTTTGTCAATTGCTCTATTTTGCTGCGATGTGTGTGGGTCCCACAAACAATGCCCGGATCCTAAATTATTTTCGTATTATCGAATCCGCAGTACGTGTTTGTCGTCTTTGTCTCTAATTGTTTAATTGTCAGATCATGAGTCGTCTTGTCTGGCCATGTCAGAGGAGCGCCCTCATCCAAGCTACAAGCGATTTTTGGGCGATCGACATGTTAGGACATTGTCAGCTTGTCATTTAGGGGACATTTTCTGTACTATTTTGAAGGATTAGGCTTTTGTGCTTGTTAACCTGTTAGGATGCCGGTGGATCATGCACAAGGCAGCTCATGTGTGTGGTCCCTAGACGTTGGAGATAATGTTATTAGTTTAATTGCTTGTATTTTAATAATCGGATACACATTGTAAGACAATAGAAAATCGAGTTTAGAGATAGGTTCGACCAACGTGCAGAGCGGTTTTAAAATCCATTCTCTTTGAAAGCTAAAGATACTCCAAGCAGGACTAGGTTCTGTTGTTGTATCATCAATCTAAACACCATCTAAAGGCATAACTAACTATACAATATTAACTGTAGGCTTAACCAAATATAGAGGAATCGCGCAGAATGTCGTTAAGTGTTACTCCTAAGGATAAGATCGCATCTTTTAAGAAGTGATTACTGATTTTTAACGGCGTAATAAGATTAAGTCGCCAACTTCGTTTTGGAATCGTACTAAAGCAATTCGGAGACTATTAATTCATTTTTGGCTGCAGTCTCGTAGACAAGAAAATTAAATGAATTCAAACTACTGAATAACTTAAACAAAACTTTTAAAAGTATTCCATAAAAACCAATGCTATTTTTAAATTTGATGTTTCAACTTTTATTGTTTGATTGTTGCTCTTCTAACTTATATTTAACAAGAACATTATTCTTAAAATACGATTTAAAATTATTTTGGACAGTCTTAAAGGGCTTCGAATTGACTTATGGATAGTATTAAGGTATGAGGTACCGACTTAGAATCCAAAGTAGGGATAGGCAGGAGCAGTAGCCATCATGGTGCTCTTCTGATCGACCTGATGGTGGTAGGCGCCAATATGGTTGCTTGCAGCAGTTGTGGGAGGGAAAAAGGAGCCAGCAAAGTTGTAGCTATCCCATGAGGAGGGGTGGTGCGATCCTGAGGCGGCGGCTGATGCAAACTGCGATCGGAGCTGCTCTGCGGATGTGGCAGCATTCGGAGGCATGGAATAGGCTGCGGAAACTGTAGATGGGTAAGCAGTGCTGCTCGATCCCACACCGTAGGTGGAGTTCATGAACTCATTTCCGGTTCCTGGCTGCTGGGCTTGCGTCTGGACGGGACTGTGGGCAGCCGAGCTGCTACCAGAGGTGCTACTGGCCGGGGACATGGAAGCCACAGATCCGCCGTAGCCAGCTTGATTGTCATAGGCAACTCCCGATGATGGCCAAGACTGGGAACTGTACAGGCCCATTCCCATATTGTGAGCAGGGGCGGAGCTGGCCGTGGCAGTAGCTCCGTAGGATGCGGCTGTAGGAGCAAAGCTAGGCACCTGCTGGGTGTTAAGCTGCTTGCGTAGACGAGCACGGCGGTTAGAGAACCAGACTTGGACGCGTGCCTCAGTCAATCCTGTGCTTTGGGCCAGCTCTTCTCGGGTGTAAACGTCAGGATACTGAGTGCGAGAGAAGATACGCTCCAAGGCATCAATCTGGTCGTTGGAGAAGGTGGTACGGGACCGCCTTTGCTTCCTCTTCAGCTGCACACTGGGTTCGGCGTCGTCCTCGCTCTCATCCTCGCTTCCCGCTGATCCAGCTCCACCGCCGAGGATGCCGTCAATGCTGTGTGAGGTTCCTGGTCCGGAGGATCCACGCAGAAGGCGCGAAATGGAGCTCACGGATGGAGCGTTTTGCTTGTCACACACTCCGGCTTCGATAAGCTTGGCACGAATCTCCCAGCTGAAGATTCCAGGTTGCGCCTGTTTTAGTTCCTCAATCCTGGACTCAATGTCGGGTGTGGCCACACGGGGCTTGCTGCCGCCTATCACTCCTGGGCGAATAGAGCCGGTCTCCTGGAAGCGGTTCAAAATCTTCGAGACGCACCCGTGGGAGACACGTAGCTGCCGGGAAATCACGCACGGACGAACCCCAGCGGCTGCCATCTCAACAATTTGGCGCCGAATGTGGTTAGGTAGTGGGCGACCATTGATGAAGACGCCGCCAAGTTGGTTTACGCGACCTTGTCCTAAAAGAAAAAAGGAAGAGCAGGTTTAGTACATTTTCAAGGCAAAATTTGTTCGTCCGTGTCTGATTCTATTACAAAATCTTAAGTACGTTGTGGCCTTATTTTCGGGCCATCTTTTAAATAATTTTTTGTTTTGCTCTATTGAGTGGAATCAAGTAATCTAGTTAGCCAGCATTGACCACTTCACTGGTTTGCATTCGAAGTGCACTAAGCAGGATAAGCCCGAGGATCAATTTGCACGATCTTTTGTTGCAGAGATGCACAAACGATTCGATGGCCATTTGTAGACATAACAAAACGCAAATTGGCAATTTACGTAGGCCTTTTCAAGAGAATGGAAAACATCTCGCCGACGGTGGCGGTGGCGGGGAAAAATACCGATCTTGCTGGAAAACGAAGCTGCGAACGCAGCTGCATTCCGGCTTGGCTCATGCAATCAAATCAAACTAATAATCCATAAGCGCTGCGGACGCCCAGCTGTGCCGGCTAATACAAGTGTGTATATATGAAAAGGCGGCCCCAAAACAGCCGAAAAGAGAAATAAAGTCCCAGTCTCAGCCCATGTGCAGGGTCTGTTGTTTGGGGCGCTGACGTTACTCAGCTACGTGATACACAAGACCCCAAGCTCGACGCAGACACTGAGCCGATTCAAGATCAAAGCCCAGCGCCACGAAGCCGCCAGGGAAGGAGACGAGCCATAAGATGAGACATGAGCTGGCCAGACGGCCGCGCCAAAAAGTCTGCAAAGTCCGCTCTGGAAGCTGCGGCTGGCTGTGGCTGGGCCTGTGCCTGGGTCTGGGTCTGACTGGCCAAGTTGCCGATCACAATCAATAAGTCAAAAAGCTGATCATGCTGCCGACCGGGTAATGATCTCTCGTTTAAAAACAGCGGGCGAAAGCGCTGCCCCAAATGATGAGCCAGCACTTTTCTATGACCGAGTCTGGCGTTTTGTACCCGTAATTGTGGTAATTGGTAATGCTCGTTGTGGTCTGTGATCCACTATCTACGATCGGTGCTTACCTTGGAAGGGATATCCAGCAAAGTAGGGTGTCATGTTGATAGCCGAAACCGCCATTTATTTAACAGTAATCCGTTGGAGAGTTTTTCGGGAGTATTGACAACACTTCTTCTTCGACTTTCCGAATAAGATCTTCACAGTTAACTAAGTTAGAATATTCTCGGTGGTGAGGTATACAGAATTAAACCCAGCTCTGCTAAAGCGAATGCGCAGTGAATGGTGATGCTGCTCGTTTGCTTGACAGCTCGAAACTGATTTTGAAACGGTCAACCACAAGACTAAAACGAATCCATGAGATTCTCAGAGCCAAGAAAACCAGTTTTCGTCGGCGGGGAAGCCGTGCTAGCGAGGGTGGAAATGCAGGCAGCCGGTCGAGGCAAGAGCGAGAGGCGGCGATCGCCCGAGAGTGCCGCCGTTGGTTAGAGCGGATCAGTCGCTTAGCCTTCCCGTGTATGCTAGAGTAGATACGTCGAGCCAGAAAAGAGAGAGAGGCCAAGAGAGTTTTCATAGTATGGCTGCAATTTCGCTTAGCTCCGCCCCCGGAAAACCGAACTGAACTGGGTTTTATATTCCCCCTGGCTGATCTGACTGCAGGGAAACTCCGAGTGGGCTTTGGCTGTGAACTCTATTATGATTGTTTATTTTATATGCGCTTGATTTGGAGTTATGCCCCGGGCCGGGATCTAAGGTTTAAGGTGGGTGGGATGCCCTAAGAGTCAGAGTAAGAGCTGATTGCGCATATCGTAATGATGATGTAAATGCGGTTTCTTGAAACCTTATATTTCTGATACGCAAAAATAGATTGCTATTATAGACCCGTACAAAAGCAAATACTTTTCCGCGTTCAATGAATGGGTGAAGAAAGCAGAAAGCGAAAAGTTACTAAGCCTCCCCCCAGCCGTATACCACTGGTATCAGGCTATGAAACGCATTTAACTTGCATTCGTTTCTGGCCAAATGACGCCCTCGCCAAATCAATGGCCTTGAGCTAAATGCGGAATGGCTTGGTCTCAGATACACGAGTCTACTTCAGTCTGCGGCAGGATTTTTCTTTCAGACAAGTTCAATCAATTGATTCTGATGACGCTGCTTTCAACTAAGAGGTAGCTGGGCAAGTGACCCAAGAACTCATCGGGCGACAATGGTTCAACTTGGAGACACGACTCATTAAAGTTGATTTCGCATCTGCGATTCAATTACTGCAGCCGCTGTGTGCCTACACTAATTAGAAAGAAGACCATCTTCGAAACAACTCCCAAACTTAATATTCATAAGAAAAAGAGAGGGAATGCTAATACGCGTGGCCGAGTGGGAAGCTGGAAAAAACATTTTCGCACGGCCAAAAAGGAAGAGGAAAAGTAAACTCCATTTCCGAGTGCATGACTTTTGGTTAATTTTCTGAGAGTGCTAGGCTATGAACTGGCGGCCGAAATCAAAGAGTTTTTGGCCATGTTGCGTATACGCCGCGTGTGCGAGCATTGAAATTATGCGGCATCATATCCAAGGTAAGGCTGTGGACGTAAACAATGTAGACGAAGTTGTTGCCACTGTTGTTGGAGCTGGCAATTGCCGAGATACTTGCCGAGCGAGCACGTATGTGTCTGTGTCTGTGAGATACTTGTGGCGTGGGTGCGACGCTGAATGCGGTGCCATTTGGCAATAATTGTGGGTCTATTGTTTGGTTGGCCGCCACGCTCCGTGTGTGGCTTCGCCGCGAGGCAATCGCTCAAGTCGTTTGACAACTGAAACTGCTACTGTGCGATTGGCAAAATCGCCAAAGCCGGCACCGCCTCAGATGCAGATACCGATATGAATTGTGTGTCAGCGGGAATGATGAATCTGTATCTATTGAACATTCAACTGGCAAGTGTTCGGCCTCCGTTTTATCTTCGCTGACTGTCCCTGTGCTTCACATTCAGCTCTCCTTCATTCGCTTTCGCATTGACCTGCACCAACTTTTCGATATATATACGCCATCCGTTGCAAACAAATAGTCCCGACGCACTGGATGGCGAAACACTTTTCATCCATTGACTCTGGCATTTTGTGGGAATTTTTAATATTTTTTGTAAGTCAGCCGCAGACCGATGTATTTGCCTAGCTGTCGAACTGAATATTGGGGGTATCAGCTCAAGTTGGAAAATTTGTTGGCGAACCGGCAGGCAAACGTCTGTCGGCGACCAAAGGAATTGACTTGAGTGATGGCTTTAAAATGCTATGGAATTCAATTTCTTTCTTTCAAGCGGAGGACCATGACAGGCAATGGCAAAGGGCTTTCTCGTATTTATGCAAGTTACTCCCCAAACAACTTTCTGGTCGGGAACAATTTTTCATAAACGTCGTATATTAGGGTGTAATTCAGAGCCCTTCAAACACTGGGCTAATGATTACCAAAGCGCTTCCAATAAATACAGCTGAAAAATAACCACTAACGCCCATATGTCAGCTTAGCTGAAGGTAGCCGTAGGCTACAACAACATATGCTGGGGCAGAGGCAGTGGCAAGGGCAAAGCGGTGGAACAAGAAAACTAAATTAAAACTCAACCGCAACTGTTTACACAGCAAATGTTACCACAAAGGGGCGGCTTGGCGCACCAAAGCCTCCAACTGACTCCAAACTGAAATCCCAGAGCGACCTAAGCCCGTAAATGATTAATTAAGGCGGCTACTTTGCAGAGGAGGATCCGGCGAACAGCTCGGACAGTTGGCCGGCGAGGTGAGAAGAGTAATATGTACAAATATATCACTCCTTCGGAACGGTTAAAAACGAATTAATAATGTGTGATCGGAGGCCGCCCCCAAAAACGTGGAACACCAGTTGGTGGATTCCAGAAGAGAACCCACTAATTGCGCAGTCAGTCCTAAGGGTATTGCAGCCAATCAAGATCGTTGTGCGGGCGGCCACGCGCACCTCTTAGATGACATGGCAAAGGATGTCTCAAACGCTGGCCCAAGGACCGCTTGGCTTATGATGGCCGCACAAAGAATGCCATTATGTGCATGATCTGTGGTTTCCCTTTCACTCCGCGCAGCTCTGTTTGCGGCTCTTTGTCGGCAACAGTGTGAACATAATAGGGGAGTGGAGTGAGCTGAGTTAGGGGAGGACACCCAAGCCGCTGGTCTGGACCGCCACCATCGATGTGTGAATTCTAACAGCCCCGGTCGGCGTTTAGTCGTAAATAATGACTTTGAGATTCGGTCACAGTCGCTGAAATGTGGTACACGGACTCTTTCAAACACAAGAATCTAGACAGATCGTCGAGAATAATGATCAAGATGAAGATTGAGACCCAACATAATTGCCCCCGGCGTAGCGCCTTCGATTATCGCATTCCTGTTAATTTTAGACTGATCCTTGATTAGCACTCCGCTCGCCTTCTAATAGGGATATTATCTCGCAGTCCTACGATTTGATCTCCTGGACTTCTCAACACTTCGTGTTGCATGGCGTCAAGCCATATAATTTGTTTAGCATCCTCGCAGCTGTGAGAAGAGGTGTGATATCAATGATTATAATTATAACACTAAAAGGGTTTCGTCGACCATGCATTCTTGTGGATTGTGAGATTTCCATTAAGGTGCAGACTTCCACACGGCTTTTCGGAAAAAATGCGTTTTTCGATCCACTTCAACTCCTGCTCCTCTCATCCGTGGAAAATAATTCATTCTTTATCACAATGTGATTAGAACTAATTTGACACTGAAATATTAGCATGGTAGCTCCCATCCAGATACCGCGAGAGAGAGGTCCCCGAGGAATAATCACGCAACGCAATCAATCCTTTGACTATGATGCATATGACGAGACGGCCCATAGTTTTGAGCAGCAACCAAAGAAAAGCATAAATAATCCGAAAAGGCAGAATTCCCTGCTCACTGCTTTCCCGCATTGATTTATTTACCATAGTAAATATAAATGCATTCGAAATGCATTTTAGTTATGCGCTGAGGCAGCCACCAATCTTCGAAATTATCGACTTCAGCTCCATCTGAAAATGAAATATAAATAATTATTGAGGGGCTTACAGATCCACTGAAAACAGCGATTCGTGCTTATAGTTCTACCTTTAATTAAAAACACATTTCTTGGGTCCATTTCGGTTCCAGTTGCATCTGAAAATCGATTTGATACAATTTCAATTTTGTTGACTTTTCCCAAAGTGACAATTGGGATGCGTGATTTTCAATTATTCCCAGCTGAATCGATTCGTCAGTCGGCGGATGTCAAAGTGGGGCATTGTTGCTCTCAAATCTCTGCAACCGTTTTTGTGGCATCAAGTCCAGTTCCCGTTAAGCCGAGTGCGATGTCTCGTGCCGAGCTTTGATGCTCAAATGGAACCGGAAGGTTTCTTTTCGGCGAGTGTGAAGAATTGAGCTGCATGTTATCTTCCGTTGATTTAATTAGATTTCGATTTGTTCCGCCATTTTCGCATTTAATTGATGTTTAGTTCCTGGAATCGAAGACTGCCATTGAACAGGTTTTGAAGATGCCGCCGACCAGATATACCTTCAACTACATTTTTCGGTCTAACATCCTGGGATCGTTATAAATTTGTATTTAGTGCGATTGGGGTAAAATTAGAACAACTCAATCTTTCTGATAACAAACTCGATCTGGTTTAAAAGTTAAAAAACTCGCCGCGTACATGCATATTTAATTTGAAAAATCTGAAAATAATTTACTGTTTTTAGTGGGCGTTCAAATCAATTTGCAATAAGCGTCCAAACGTCTTTAGGCCGATTAACACATTTGATATCATCATCGTCATTATCATTATCATCGCTTTATGCTAATTTTCCTGCCCAGCTAAAGCCCACGAAAACGCTGTGCCCCTGCTTCCACCTTAAGGAACTAATTTAATTAGCATAATTTGGCAACACCTTTTCGGCTTTTGTGGCAACACCTACTAACCTACAAGCAGATGCGTATATTCCGGATTGCCGTTAGATACTCGTACTTTTGTTTGTGCGTTTAGGCCAAAAAGCGCTGCTAACGCGATTGGCAACGCCAGCGCAGGATGTAGGAAGGGAGAAGTTGACTAAGTTGGCGTGTCAAATCGATCATTGGCACAGTTTGACAAGTCTATTTGGCTCGACAAGTAAGTGAAGAAGGAAGAAGGAAACAAAGCCTGGACAAACAGAGCCAGCGACCACCGGCAGTTTCGGTCTGGCCTAGTCCAGACGTAGAGTCGCCCGCCGGACGGGACAGAGCGTAACACTTACGATTTGTAATGGCCCCTAATCATGCGACAAAAAATATCGCAGTGTAGCAGCATACCAGCAGGGCTTGGACCGCCAACAGGTAGCCGCTTTAGCCTGTGCAGAACCTCCGCGAAGCGGCAGTCTGCGGTTCGAGTGTTAATGGTTTGTTAGTACGCGGCGGTGTCCTTGCTTTCTATCGTCCTTGAAGAATTGCCATTGCTACAACCACCCACCCAGCCCCCGTCAGACACACCGCAATTATGACTCCTGTGGTCGTTGTGTTTGCGTTAATTTAGTTATCTTCCAGGTGTGCATGCGATTTTCGCCGGAAATTGACAGTCGGCGGTCGAAAACCACAGATCTTTGATTTAGCATGCACTGTTTAAAAACACATTCGGCAGCCTATAAGCCAGTTTTAGTGCCAATGCCCAACGATAAACACCCAGACAATACTATACTCTCGGCTCATAAATCTGCAAAAATCTGCACCGTCCCGCTCCAACGATTGGCGGTTGCATGCTTAGCAAATTACTCAACAGCTAGTCGGGTGATCCCGTCGGGCAGGCGAAGGGCTGACCCTTCAATAAATTATAACGAACTGCTCGCTGCAGAACGCCCCCCGCCAAACGTATTGCTGCCTGCCAAGCTCGCCCCGCCATGTGGGAGACGACACGCAGTCTGCAGTTTTCGCAGACCAGGATTGGGGCAGTGGGGCCACGGGCTAAAAGGTCCAGGTCAAGATCGCGGAGAAAAGGATGAATGTGTCAGCAGCTTGCTCAAAGCAAATGCCGCTGGGGGTTTCCTTTCGGGCGGGCTTTTAATTTATGTTATTGATGTGAAAGCTATCCGGAATGCACTGAGAAAAATCTGATAGCGAAAAAGCCGATGCAATGCAGAACGACATTGCTCATCTGCAAGGGTGTGGGAAAATATTTCCAGATGTATGAGTAGATGCTATATTTCGGTGAAGGCTGCACTTCGAATTTTGCGTGAGGAGCTAAAAAAAATACGCAAAGCTGAGAAAAAGGCCAAATGAGTTACGGATTTGCAATCGCTTAAGCTGAGTGCCAATCTGAGCCGGCTCCAAGCCGCAGTCATATAAACAAATGAACATATGTAAAATCCATGCTCGACAGCGGCCACGACAACTTTGGCTGAAGCTGATGTTTTTTTACGACTTGGCACAGAGTTTCTGAGGGGTCTGCTCGGTCTGCTCAGTCTGCAGTGACTGGACAAAGTGGCCGACAAAAGTCTTTTGGAGATCCATGCGCTTCAAGCTTCGGGTTCAGCGGGCTGCTGACTGAAATGGCTTTGAAGCGCACATTTGCCAAAGTGATCGTAAAAATGCCAAGCCAAATACCTTGAGCACGTCAAGCGCGGCAATTAAAATTGAACTTTTATGTTACAATGACATATAGCCCAGTCGCAGGCCCGGGTTGGGCCGCGCCGGAGCGCCTTAGCGCTCAAATGAGATGCTGATGGGTGGCGGCGAGGAGTCGGGCGGGGCACTCCCAGTGAAGTGGAAAGGCCATGCGTGTGAACGAGGTAAGATCAAAGCTCGCGCCGCAGCCAAGCACTTGCAACTGGGAAAAGGACACAGAGAGCGAGCGAGAGATCTCTTTTGGTTCGGCTGGACAATGCAAATGCCGAGGCCGAGGCCGAGCCGGGGCCGGGTCCCGTGCAGTTTGGTTTCACAATTTAATTGCAAATAAATTGAGTTTTTGGTACTTCATTTAAGCGAAACTCGCTAAGCCCTCGTGGACCAGCGGATCCATCAAAGTCGGCTGAAGATGTCTTTTTACAGTGTTCAAAGTTGGCTTTTAGGAGGCTCCCTGCACAAGACAAAAACTCGAAACGAATTGTTTGCATGAAATTAAAATGGTTTCCTATTCAAGCCAACAAAAATTTGTTTTTTGTTTTAAGGGCTATCCCGAATGGCATATCTTGGCTCTTCTTGCTTCCTGGAACGCCAATCGACAAATTCTCCCACTTGTACCTTGCCTTATAATGAGGTTCCGCTAACTGATCCATCAAGACTCCGTTAGAGGACTGTCAACAGATGCACAGGAACTCTGAAATTAGGCACACAGTTAAAAATCCGTCGGTAGCTGATGGCCAAACGGAAGGCACAACAAACAGACTGACGAGCCAACAAATATTGAACAATCGCATATGACAGATCGCTCGTCCATCTGGACAGGCCAAGGAGGAGTACAAGTGAAAATTAGGCACACACACGCGCTCGCATACACACATCCAAGAGGGTTGTCAAACAGTTTTCACTCCTTCATGCTAAATTTGCAAGGCAAACAAACGCCGTCGTTGGTCCCGCTGGACTCTGTCTCAGCAGACCCGGTGGCAGCTCAAGGACGACGGAGGTGTCACCACGGCGGGGTGCCACATAGCTCAGCAAGTGTCAGGCTGTAGGCTTGGTGACTTAGCTACTCGTTTGGGATTCGGTAGTTATTGGCCCCAGCAATAGCCAGATGCTAGTAGGTCGTTCTGGGAAGACCTCGCCTATTCATACAAGTGGATAATAATTTTGAAGAACTCCTACGTCCCCATCCCATGGTCCTTTGCGGGGCTCGAAAGCGGTTTACGATCTCGTGATTTTGAATGAATTTGTCCGCACTCACACTTGCCATTTACTGCCCCTTGTAATGATCTATAGAGCAAGTTTTATGCATGCGCTGCTTGGCGACAAAATTTACAGCCCTCTGTAAATCAAGATTGCTCAGAGTGGCTAACATGTGCTCTGATTCGGGGAAGACTGTCCTTAGAATTTGACGAACAGTTTACGGCGTTCATAAAATCCTTTCGGTAGTCTTTTGAGAATTTAATACATTTTTACACCCACACCCATTGATTTTCATTCTCGTTTATGGAACGCTAATTGAAGGCTTTGTCGACACATATTAACTGGAAAGTGCCCCGAAGAGTGTGAAATGCAGTTCTCGCACGTCTTGTATCAAGCTCTTACTCGTATTTCGGAATTATCAGTTTTATACGCGTTTCTCTTAAGAAATGTTTCTTGAAATCTTGCTGCCTTTTTGTAAGTTCGAGTTTTTCTTTCGGAAAATCCATTATGCACTGTTCAGCCTTTAATATTTGAAAAAGAAGTAGGAGTACTCAGGCTCCAAAACAGGAACAAAAATGAACAAGCCGCATTTATAGTCTGGTTTCCGCTTAACGGAGTCCTTAAACATTTTTGGCTCCCTATCAAAAGTTTTGAAGCATTCGTTGCCACGCATGAGGAACTCCGATAATTGAAAACTGTCAATACGCAAATTAGGAAATTTGTCATGTTTGTCGTGACCAAGTGCTTGTGGTCCCGGTCTGAGCACGGAAATGGGCGGAGACGCAATCAATTAATGCCTCGAATGGGAATGTCCGTTTGACTCATTTGCATTGCCAGTGCCTTTGCTCAAGTACTTGGGTAACGCAGTGAACTCAAGAGTACGGTAGTACGGGGTCCTTGCATGACGCTTCATTAGCACCGATTTTTATGCTGATTATCGCAGGGACTTCAGGTCGGCTTATCAGTTCAATTCCACTTTAGATTGCCCAGGAATGTTTCATCAGCCTGCCAGCTCATTCAGCTCAATTCAGATCCGGGCTGAAGTATGCTGTAATGTTATTATAGATCTGAGATTTGCATGTGGCCTGCTGCCATACATTTAATCTCATACGCACACAAAGGACGAGAAGCAGCCATTTTTCATGTCCGTCCATCCCCTGTCCCTTTCTCACCCTGGAAGCCAGATGCAGGCGGCATGAGCGTATCCTTAATATGCGTAAACTTCACGCTTAATTCTTTATATTATGATGATGTCCTTTCGCTGTTTTCGCTTTTGTTCGTCGGTCTTTCAATTTTTCAAAACTGCAGACCGTCCTGACTGTACCAGGTGTGACTGCCTTTGCCGTTAATGGCTGTTGATAGATTTTTATGTTTGTATATTGGCAATTGGCTGTCCCAGTTGGGTATAGAATAGCCTGGATTAAGGACTAGCTTTAACATGACTTCGTGCTATGCTCTTGCTAGCTCTCAATGTAATACTTCAATAAAGGATGCGGTATTTTCAGATAACGAGCTTGACGCTTGATTATTACAACACCTTCGATTAATCAAATGCAGCTCCATGTGCCTACCAACAAGGAATAGGAAAACTACCGCTAGCAGTGACACGTTTTCAAGCTTGAACTAGCCTTGAAGGGATAAGCCAAGAAGCTAAGGGAAACCCGGACCCCATAAACTTGGATGACAAAGAACTAGCCTAACTAGCCAAATGCTGGCGAAGGAAGGAGAATACAGCAAGGGAAGCGCCTGAATGGGATAAACATACAGGGGAAACACACGACACGCAACTGTGGGTGCTAAAAATGCCAAAACCGGAACGATTGATAATGCGTCCTGGCCTGGGTAATGGTGCTGGGCTTGGGATTGGGCTTGGTCTTGGTCCCTGGCTTGTGTCCTGTGCCGCCGGCAGCCTTCACGGTTTAATTGGCTGCCAGCGACAAAATAAAAGTCATACAATTCATACAAAATGTTTCTGGACAGCTGCATTCTCGGAGTGATCAAGCGCTTCTCGGCGGGAGAGGGTTGATATGCGGATGGATTTCGGATGTGTTACAATATCAAACGATGTGTGAGCTGAGCATTGAACCGCCCTGAACGAACTCAGCCAATCAGAGGTCTTTCGAGGCGTGGCATTACCTCGATTAAAGCGCGGCCCGCTCGCCGGCAACTCTCTCTCCGTTTAGCAGCGAAGTTTTGATCGTTGCCATATTGTATCTGGCCGAGGCGCTCGGGCAGGCATCAACCACCAAAAGGGCGGGCGCGAAAGCTGCTCTCAGTCTCCCTTCTGCCAGCATCTCCATCTCGGCGGTGGTGGCGCGGAAACCAGTTTATGGAGCGATCTCATTGTTCGTCCGTCTGCGGAGTAGTCGTCGTCATTGCCCCGGTCCGGCCGGCCCTCGTTAATTTATGCTCGCGCTTCTCTTTAGTTGCCTTGCAAGTCTCGTGCTGTTTGATCGCCGAAGCGCGTGTAATTCCAAGAAAAATCCCGCTGCCTCACCATCGGGTGGAGAGTTGCAAAGTTCCGTCGGAATCAGAAGCTGCTCGTTGCAGGCTTTCCAGTGATGAAGTTCAGCCTTTGGGGCACCTTCGTAGTGATCTGCCGCGAATACCGAGAGCCTGTAGGCCATTATAGTTTAAAGTGTGCAATTATATCGACTCTGAAACACTAAAACCAAAGCCAGTTTGTTACGAGGAGCGGCGACATTTTAGATTTTAAGTTATTCATAAGCTTAGTGGCTTCGGACAATGGATATGTCTAGCGCCAACTCGTTGCGGCCCCTTTTGCAGGGGTATCCCTTTCAAGGTGAGCCTATCCAATCATATCTTGTTAATTTAAAGATATCTTAATAACTTAAGAGATGCTTTTCCCATATTGAGCTGTTCTCAACTCGTTTCTTTCATTTGATCCCGCTCACCACCAGGACAAGGTCGCGTAAATCAGCTCGGGGGTGTCTTTATCAATGGGCGCCCTCTGCCCAATCACATTCGCCTAAAGATCGTGGAAATGGCGGCAAGTGGAGTTCGACCTTGTGTGATCTCTCGCCAACTACGCGTCTCACACGGCTGCGTATCGAAGATTTTGAACCGGTACCAAGAGACGGGCTCCATTAGACCCGGCGTGATAGGTGGATCTAAGCCGAAGGTAACCTCGCCTGAGATCGAAACGCGGATCGATGAGCTGCGAAAGGAGAATCCGGGAATATTTAGTTGGGAGATACGCGAGAAGTTGATCAAGGTAAGTACAGAACGACACCTGCGGTACTGCAGGAAGCAATAAAATGTGCCGAAACAAAGAATGAAACGACTTTCCTAGACCCACCGGTAGCCATAACCGCATGTCATTATGTGCCGACAAACAGGACCCAAATACGGACCAAATGCGAATCAGTTTACTTCCGTTTTCTTAAAAGTCACGTGGCAAACTCGGGCCTCCCGCTGACATTGTTATGGCACGTTGCCGCCGACACCTACTGGCCCTTTGCATATGCCGGCTGGTCAGTTGCACAGATGGCCTAAATTGCCCAAGGACCCGGTTTGAACTTGGCTGTTCATTGACAATTTTGTTGTACAACGGCGACGACAAATTTTCGCTTGCCACCCAAACCGTTAAGAAATCGATTAAACCATAAAGAGTCCTCTCTGACACTGAGGTTGCCGTTCTTCTTGTCGGCATCGATTGTGTTTTATCCTTGAGACGACAAGGTGCAAACAGAGGACTCATTTGCTTTTGCATTCGGGACATCGCTTCCAACTTCCTGTTTGACATTTTGAGGAGTTTACACTGAAAGAAATCGGCATTTTGCTCGGCAAATCCTCATATTATATCTCAACCCACCAGCTTATATTAATTCATGTCACGTTTTAATGTACGATTGTTAAACCCAGCAAAAGCAAGTCGTACCACATCTTTCTTTCCTCACAAACCTTGTCACCCTTGTCAATACTAGAGTATTATTTAACCTTACATTAGCGTAAAACTTTAAAGATGAGCACACATGCCCACACCTCCATCTGGGGGCAAATACAAAGTCCAAAGGGGAAATTATGTTGTTGCTTATAACTGAACCTACGCCAATATGGCTATTCACTGAGACCAGCTGTCTGGATTAGTTAAACTTTTGTTTCGGCATACTCCCTACTGACCGAGGCAGTTCCTCTGATCCACGCCTGGATGGATGGTCTTTGACGGCTGTCTTGCCTTTTGGCGAGATTGCACGAGAGTGGAGCGGAGGGCGAAAGATTCATGCGAGTAGTCGTGTATTCCTGCGCCAGCCTCTTTTGGTGGCTCTCGTCCCGCTCTTTATATAAAGCCGCAATTAGCCACACTTAATGTGGCGATAGGATTCAGGCGACCATCTACACTATCGACCAATGGATCAGAATTACCTTATTCCATATCCGTGAGATGCGCCCTCTGAGTGCACAGAGGAAAATGCAGATCGATGTTTGTTTCAATGTTTCAAAAATATATGGCAAAACTGTATCCCTCAAAGCACAAGATCCGAACACAATGCAAATATTTCATTTAATATAACATATGTTAAATACTCTATCAAATATATATTAGTGCTAAGCTTAACCGGACCAACTTACACCTTTTTCTTTCTGTGTCGTTCATTTTGTTTTTTTTGCTCTGGCTTGGCGAGGCAGTAGGCGTAAAAAGTGCCTCCAGGTGAGCTTCGCGCTTGATTTGAATACGCTTTGGGCATCTCTTCTGCTTCGATTTCATACCAGGCCGATTGCCCCTCCCTATCTCACAAATACAACTTGCTCAGTGGCTCAGTGGCTTATCCACCGACGATCGTGATTGATTTCAGCGGTTGTTATTGCACATTGGTCTTGGCTCAGAAATGACCGCTCTTTGGCTCACGTCCCGATCGTGTTTTGCTATTGATCCTTAGGGTTACGCTACTCCTTGAACACGTCAGACTGCAAGTTTATTCAAATGACCCGCTGCCAAACTGTTTGTTTCCCAGAAATTCAATTATTAAAAAACACAGAATGCACCTGCCACTCAAACGAAGGCTAGCTGAGACCCAAAATATACTTTGCCAAGAAAGCGGCAATACATAGACACAGGCGCAGCACGCTTTGGTCAAGTATAGAGCGCAGTCAAGTGTCAATCCAACTGTCAACTAATTAATTAAATTTCAATTGAAATTGTTAAGCCAAAACCCAGGCGAGGCAAGAAATGTATCTCACAGTCGGGGGCTCGACCGAGATCGAGATCGGGATTTGAATTGGAACTGGGATCCAGTTGTCAGTTGCCACAAGATAAGCCGTCACATTCCAAGCGAACAACTGGTGCGGTTGGGCTCAGCCAGGTTTCCAGATCAAGCTGAAGTCGTAAATAACGCAACAAAGTCCAGTTGAAAATCAAAACATATTTCTCTTGTTGTCTCCGTGACACATTCAATAGAAATAGGAGCCAGTAGCCAGAAGACCGACACCAGTTAGCCAGACGGTCCGGGGCAGTCTCCCAGTCTGCCAGTACGCTTCATACTGGACAAAATGTCAGTTTTAGTTTCCGTGCACGGCGTCTTGTCTTGTCTGGTCCCTGTCTTGTCTATGAGGTGCCAGTTATGCCACCTTTGTTAGGCGAGGAATTAACCACAGCTCGGAGGGCGGGCAGGGGTCCCGCGATAATTTCGTTAGTGGAAAAATAATATTATTAATCATGTAAATGTTTGCGGCACATGCCACTCAATTTGAGCAACGACTGACACCCGGCCACCGGACAGACGAGTACTCCGACGCTGGGTCACTTCCCAGCCAGCGGCAGCCAGAGCTGGGATCTTACACCCAGACATGACACTACGCGTGCAGCAGTTAGCTTGAACCTGGAGTTTATGTTGAAGTCGACATGTCGCTCTAATGAAAACTGACAGTTTTCGGTTTCCTACCGACTTTAGCAATTGATGTTCGATTCAAATGTGTTTTCCTTAAAAAAAACTGGTTTGGGGAATGTGTTGCTGCCCAGTAAGCGCCATTACATGATGTGCAAGCGATCGAATTTTATTCTGGAAAGCTAAAGCCTTTTACTTCAAGCGAGTTAAAGCCGAAAGAAGCAGAAAGCTTTACTGTTCTAGTGGGAGATTAACTTCACACTTGCAATTTTCGGAATTTGTTTTCGATTCCCGCCGGAATGTCCAGCCTTGATTCCGTACAATCTCAGCACTTGCCTCGACTCCTGACACTCGCGAGGCAATCGCTGAGCAAACGTACAGATAGAAATAAATTCTCATGCCTGGCCTAACTCTCGGCTTGACATTTCCCTAATTGGATTATCCGACGAAGCTCGGGAGAGAGGGAAGAAGGCCCAAAGACAGCTACATGAAAATTGTCCAAACACAAGGCTGCCCGACGACTGTAGCATTAGTGTCAGACCTTCCCAGTGCTTAGTCCCCAAAGACATCGACCATCCGACATGAAAATTCTTTTAAGGGAAACAGTAGCCACCAAAAATATGTATCTGCCTCCATCTTTCATTAAAGGGAGCTGGGTGTAAAATAGTATCAGAGATAAAGCGAATCAAACCCAGATTTTTAATTAAATAACTTTCTATTTTGTTCGACAAACACAGGAGGGCTTTGCGGATCCACCGTCAACGTCATCTATCAGTCGCTTATTACGAGGAAACGATCGCGGCAGCGAAGATGGTCGAAAGGACTACACTATACATGGAATTCTTGGAGGTAAGAAAACTAAACTGCTACGTTAAGAGATAGGAAAACCAATTTGGGAACGCGCGGAGAGTCTTGCTGTGAAAATCACCGATCATTTATTTGATAATTTCTGAAAATCATCATCAAATCATTTGTAGCTCAAATCAACAAACTGGTGTCGGCACCATGGCTTTGATCGTCTTAGAACTAGCGACTTAAACTTAAATAAAAGCCGCTCGGAATGGGAAAGAAAAGACTACAATGGATATTGCTGGCCATTCGATAACGATCTCTATCGCTTGTTGACCATACACAACCGAAATAGGTGTAGATGATGACACCTGAGAATGAAAAGTACACAAGTCCAAGATTCGTTTGCCACAATCCAGACCCAGCTAATAACCCTGCCTTCCACTGCCTTGCGTGAGATCTGGCAGTGCACCCCGCCTCTGCTCCATGATCGGAGCCAATAATCAGGCTAAATATGCATAGTCATTCGATAAACGACCGGCGGGGTCAAAGCGGTGGTCGTCCAGCCCGAGAGCTTGGTATTGCTTACGTATGCGTTTTAGAAATTGGGTAGAAAATTGTTTTTTATGACCTCTCGCAGCATCATTAGACGTATTCTGCACTAAACTGGCTCATTCAATTAGGCCCGAAAGCCGAACTGCTTTGATCTGTTTACCTTTTCTCATTTGTGCATTTTGCCGACATCCTCTGTGTTTTTCGCCCTCATACTGTCACAACAAATATTCCGCCTCACAATAGCCTGGAGGGTATTTCCTGAGATGTCACCTTGGCATGATGTTTCAAACCGTCCAAGCCGACAATGACGTGTCTATGGATTACATTCGGTCAATGAATATTGTGAAAATGTTCACTTCTAGTAGCCTTGAAGGCGAAGCATATTCCCCGTTGTTTTTTTAATATGATTGCCAATCACAGGTGAAATTCTAAACGGAAAGTTTCTTGAATGCAAAACATTGTGCATTGCTCTTTTATGTTTTTTATATTCCTCGACACCCTTTGAACCTGTCGTCGAAAGGATACCGGGAAGCACCTGTGTGCCAAATCTATTTAGATGTGGCCGATATCATACAAACATAAAACACTTACTAAGCATAATCTACACAGCCTTGGCCCAAGAGTGATCATTATGCTGTCGAAGCGTATAATAAGCACACGCCCTCCCATCATCATTGACCCCGGTCCCCACCCGATCCGCGGGGCCATCCCCCATCATTATAGCTGTCCAGGCAGAAGTAGCAGTCGGCTCACAATCACAACACCAATCGGAAAGGCTGCGCAAAGACATCCCAAGTATAACTGGCCAGGCACCAGCTATGTTGGAATCTGTGGGATATGGGATCTGGGACATGGGATAACAAAGTCGGTGCCGTTGCCTGTAATCAACGCCTTCTTTGCCGGCGACTGAATGATTTCTGGCCCTCACCTGCCGACGCCGAAAATAAAATTATGCATTATTAAATATGTTTCTTCATCTTTTGTTTCGCGTATAATTTCGTTTGATTTGGATTTTGAACAATTTATTCAACTGACTCTCGCTCCACGTTCATGTTCTGGACCTTTCCCAGACCCATCCGAAGCTCCCCCGGTCACAAAGCCCTAGTGTCGCTGACTGTGATTACCGGCGGCTTGCTTTGATCTCTCAAATACCGAAAAATCGGTGGAAAATATGAAATACCCAATAATAGCTGAATTTACCCAGCAAAGAAAGAGAAATTGTGTGGGGGCTACTGATGCTGCATAAGTTGGATGACAATATGCTGTTATAATTTCAATCAAAAAATGTGTATAGATATGAGAGAAGAGTTGACAAAACGAGTCGACTACAATCTTTATTAAGAGCATTGATACCAGTCGAGGCATGTCAGTGAAAATACTCAGCTAAATATTATTGCCAGTAATTTTTATGCAGAAAATGGATTCTTAACTATACTTGAAATGCAGCCATAAGCGACATTTCGAAAGAAGGAGATCCAAACGCCAGTACTTGGAATCCCTAACTCTCCGCTTCTCAGTAATGTCGAACCTGATAAATATTGATCCGTACGCCCCATCGCAACGCACAAAAAACAAACCGCTAAACGCTTGCAACGCCTCCGCTTAACGGCCTGACAGTATCCGAGCTGTCTGATTCGGATTCCGAAACCCGGACTGATAAATACGCGTGCGATTTGTTTTGTTTCGTGGGATCCCAGAGCTACCCAGCCCACTCAAAGAAAGTGAGGCAAGACAATGAAATGAAATGGCAAAACACCGACAAGAAGTCAACGGCGAAAGAAGAAAAGCCGAGCAGAACACTTGTGGCAATTAGTGGCCAGTACAAAGGCATCAAGAGAGACCGCCGTGGGAATGGGCAGCGGTATTTACAAAATAGTCTCCCTCAACCCAAGGATCCAGGACCAGACAATGCGGCATCTATCTCAGGACTGATCCTGGGCGAGTCCAAACAAAAACAGGTTCAATCATTTGCAAAAAAGAAAACACAAAATGGCAATGGCCGAAGGACCAAAACAAACGGACGCCGCTCGAACGATCCTGTTAAGGGAGTTCACACCTCCTCTAATGATTCGCAACGGGATGTCAGAGGACTCCGAAGCCGAAGAGGAGCATTCCTGCAGTCTCACATGACAAATGACTGCAAGGCTAGGGAGGCAACTCGACAACTCGGCGGTGATTGCGCAAAAATACCCTATCCTTGCATGTGCGGCCTCTAACCCGCAGCACCGACTGCGGAGCTGACCCTATCTCACACATATGCCCGATGATCCGGTGGTTGGCTCATTTGTTCGCCTCGAAAACCCATTAAAATCGTTCATGCCCGAAAAAAGTGTCAACGTAACAAAAGCATCGCTTTGACTTCAAATGCACCGATCTTGAGCGGCTTCTTTAATGCCCACCAGGGTGTCCTGGAGCGTTCTGTTTGATCTCATTGTGGCCCGGATCGTCTCGGTCCGACTTTCGTATGTTTTCCGCCGCCTCGACGCACTGGTGCGCTGGTGCGCTGCGCCCACGATTTCATCGTTCGTGTTGATGAGTTACAAAATATTTTATTAACGTATTATCACACTTTAACTGACTTCTCGTCCCGCTCTCTCTGGAGCTCTCCGTCTTCTTTGCTCGTTCGGCTTCGTTCTTGCCGCCGCCGCTGTTCATCTGGGATTTGTTTTGATCAAGTGTTTGTATGCATTGTTATTTAAATTAGTTTCATTTCATTCCGACCGATGTTCAGCTCCTTAGATTTCGATGATTACGTTTCTTTTGCCGCCGGATTATGATTATAACTAATTTTGGACTCTCTTCCCCTGCCGTCGTCGTCATATCAGGCAGCCCCCTCGACGTTTGTAAATTATTTTAAATGGCCCTCAGTGGGAATCGCTTTAATTTAAAACTAGTATTTAGTGGATTTTACATTGGTCCCTTTTATTAATTTATGCATAATACTATCAGACGTTTCATTTTATGATCAGAGAATTATATGTCTATTTTTATATTAAAGTTGCAAGGAGAGTGTTCAAAAATGGGAAACTTTGTTTTGAGTTCAAAAACCCATTTTCAATGTAAATATCAAATAATTTAAAACAACTCTAGTCATTAGTCTTTGATTTGTCGAAGTTCGTACTTTATACCCTTCAAACATTTGATTGACATATTTAGTTGTACATTTACACACAAAGTAGCGAATCTATATCTTCAAAGTAAAATTTAAGAACTGTCGCCACTTTCCACCTTCGTGTGCGACTCAGCGGTTGTTAAACTCAGCGTATATAAGCGGCATCACTTTTAAAGCTCCTGTAATCCTTTTGCTGACATGAATCTTAAGACACGAATCGTAAGACTTAAGAAATAACATTCACCGGAATCGAGCCCAGCCGAAATGAGCTGAAGTGAGCTGGACTGGGCAGAGCTGGGCTGAGGTTGGATACCCCTTCCGCCAAGCCCAAGCCAATGTCACATAGTCCGAGGCCTTATAAATTCCGAATCTGTGGCTCGGCGTCAGACGCGCGTGTCTCCAACTGACATCTGACAGCCGAGCATCGGGAATCCCCTCCACCCCCGAGGGACTTTTTAATTCCACGTCTCGTAGTCATATGTACAGTAAGCCGTGCGCTGCATTAGATGCACTAATTTAGAACAGGGGTCAGTGTCAGGGTTGTTGATTGATGACTGGGCTGGGGTTTCGTTTTGCCTTCCATTATCTATCCCAACGAGAGGAAAGTACAGATGAGATTGATCTTTGCCACCACTGTGATAGAGACGGGCTGCAATTGTCCGTCAAAGGTGATTGGGCTCCAAAAAAAAGAGGGGAAAATGACCGCTTGCCTTTTGCACTTTGCCTCACAAGGGCTGGTTCCTGAAGCGCGAGTACGTATACTACCTGCTGTTCGAAAACACAACCTAAACGTCGTCAAAAATGATGAATGCCTGCCCAGATTACGAAGCAGCAGCAATTTATCAAAGCTCAGGGCCCCAAACGGTTTTCCACGGCGACCAGTCCCCGAAAAGAAAGCCCAAATTCAAAGAGCTCCACAGTAGCCAAAGTGGTGCCCTGCCGATGTCGGTGTTGGTGCCAAAATAAAAAGGCTTTTGTCTTCGGCGCTGCTGGATTGTTTCTCCCGGACCGCCAGTGTTGTCGGGTTTCTTTCGCATACGGGCGCTATTGATGGGCAAGTAGCAACAAATTAATAAAATGTTTAACATTTAAAAACTAATTGATTTTTCTACCTTCCACCTTTCTTGGTGCCGTTTCTCTTGGCCTCTTCGCTTTGTCTTCTTGCCCTGGTATCAATCCACATCCACGGCTTCTGCAGCTCCAGGAACCCGACCCCTTATTTCGTATAATTAAGTTTTATTGTTTCGTGTGTTGAAAGATTAATAGTCCGACTTCTGTATTTTATCATTCATATCCATTCGTTTTCATTTAATACGCATGTGAACTTTTCGATTTCTTTATTGGGCCACAGGCCGAACCTAACGCTAAACAGTGGGCGTACCTCTCTCCGAGGTTTCTTGCAGGTTTTTTGCCAAAGGGGATTTTGGGTGTGGCCTGATGGCCACCGAAGCTGTTAAGCGTGCCGAAAGCATATTTTTCAGTCCGATGGCCAATGCTTTACGGAATATTGATGATGACTGAAATTCAAATTGGATTGATCGAAAGGTCTACATCGGAGAATAAAACCAATGTTATGGGAAGTTGTCCCATGAATCAGAGCGAAGAAGGTGACAGGAAGTAACCTCGTTCGAAGGATCAATTAATTATTTCACTTGGCAGGCCGGAAATATTAGTTCCCCTGCACTGACCGCCAACTAACAGCCAAATGCCTCGATTAATAACTGCCTCAATCGTCCATGAATCCTTCGGGGCAATGAACAATACATTTAATCGGCATCAAAGAATTTCCGCTTCGCCGCAAGAAATACAAACAGAACGGTCGTAGCTGAATAAGGATACTCTGGACCACAGTTTCAAAAACGAGCATGAGATCTTGTTGAATAATTCCCGCAAAAGATGCCGCTTCGCTGCTTTGATCCTGAGCTGCTAGGCTTAACTCTATAACCCAGTTTGTTGTGTAATGAGCTCTCCAAATAATTTAAGTTGCCTTTGTGACCGCCCTGCCACACGCCGCGCTTCAAGCCCGATTGCCAATGGCGGCGGCTTTCCCCATTTGCCTTTCGTAAACAGATGCCGAAGTTAATTGGCGCACTCCTCCATGGCCGCTGACAACTTGCCGATCATCTTCTTGTGTAATGTGATATATTGTGTCACTTGTCAATGCTGTGACTTTTACGAGCTGCCTGCGGCAACACCCCGCCCGCACCCAACTGGATCTGAAGAGCCCATCCGGCCGCAGAGCTGACTTCTGTGGGATCGTCGGTGGCTTTGACAGATTTGTTTCGCTCCCTGACGTCTCAATTAATATGCAATGGCGCGCAGTGAACGTCAACTCCCATTCACATGGAGCAGGGGACCCACCGATCTGGGGGTCACACGATGCCCGACGATCTACGTCGGTGGCCATATTCATTGAATACCGAGATCACACCACCGAATATGATTCAGTTTCTAGAAAACTGAAAGGCATAGAAAATTTTATCGCTTCCTACGAGGCGTTAATAATTTTAGCTGCCTTTTAATAAAACCCGAAATGCCCTTTCTATCGTTTAAGGCCGCGACTCGGACATAAGTGACACGGAGTCGGAGCCTGGGATTCCGTTAAAACGTAAGCAGCGTCGCTCCCGAACCACCTTCACCGCCGAGCAACTAGAGGCCCTCGAACGGGCCTTTGCTCGTACCCAATACCCAGATGTCTACACCCGTGAGGAGCTAGCACAGACCACCGCACTGACCGAGGCTCGCATCCAGGTATGGTTCTCCAATCGCAGAGCCCGGCTACGCAAGCATTCCGGCGGCTCGAGCTCCGGACTTTCTCCTATGAACAGTGGCAGTACTAGTGTGGGCGTAGGTGTTGGCCCGAGTGGTGCAACAGCGCCCCTCGGATTCGGTCCTCTTGGCGTTGGCTCGATGGCAGGCTATAGTCCTGCGCCAGGAACTACCGCTAATGGAGCCGGCATGAATGAGGGAGTTCACCATACCGCCCACGCTCCGAGTTCCCATCACAGTGCAGCAGTGGCTGCTGCGGCGGCGCATCATCACACCCAGATGGGAGGCTACGATTTAGTACAAAGTGCGGCGCAACACGGATTTCCCGGTAGCTTTGCTCAGCCTGGACACTTTGGTAGTCAGAACTACTATCATCAAGGTAGGTGGTATTTCAAATGGTAGAAGCCCTCCTCTTAAGGATTCCATGGTCGAGCTTCCATAGTCCATGGTCCATCGTCTATGTTTTAATTCACCACCTTATACCTATTTCTGGCTTTGCAGACTACTCGAAGCTGACCATAGACGATTTTTCCAAACTAACCGCCGATAGCGTCTCAAAGATCTCGCCCTCACTGCACCTAAGCGACAACTACTCGAAGCTGGAGTCCCCCTCGAATTGGTCGCAGGCCGCCTACCATCTCAACCAGTCGGCAGTGGCTGCTGCCAACTACAATGCCCACGTAGCCCAGCATCAGCTCAACGACTACGCCGCCGTAGCGGCTCACGGGAACGCGGCAGCGGCCGCTTACAACCACCCCTTGCCGGCGCAGGGTCAGGCCAAGTACTGGTCATGAGCTACTTGACCTGCGAGGTCGATTCATCATCGAGGGGCATGCAATTTTGGCAATAGTTTTATGCATTTCAATTACCCGCAGAGGCACATGTAGATGTAAGGCAACTATTTATGGTATACCCCACTAACGTGAATATGGAAAATATCGGCTTAGCTATAATGTAGGATTACATCACTGAACATCACTGAGCATCACATGGCTTTTATAGACGAATCAAGGCTGGCAACGTTTTACATACAAGCATCATGAACATATAGTTAGACGACATTGTATATTTATTAACCAGACAAACGATATGTATTTAGAGTAATCAGGAGGAAAAGCGTTTCGTTAAGTTGATGTAATGATGTAAAAGGTACTTTTGAGAGTTAAGTTTATAGAAGATATTGACATCTCTTAAGAAATGTAGTAATCAAAAAATTAATAAACATATATTTTTTAAAATGCTTAAACTTTTTTTTTTGAAAAGAGCCTCCTTTGATTAAACTTCATTGCTGGGAAATGTGGGATTTGATTTTAATTCAACTATTAAGTAGAATACTTTCATATTAAAAATTATCAATTGATTTAACTTTTGGACATGACCAGTTCGGATCAATCTATTGGTCTGATCCACATATGAAGTCTGAATCGCTACGTTCTACGTTTAACTATTAGAGTCCAAAATTGTATTCTTCGAGTGGGGGAAGCAGTAAAACACAGGTGCATATTGTATTATAGGAACAAACCAGTAATAGTTGTATATTATTTATTTCATACGATATTCAATAAGTGTATACAGATACTAACGTTGATAGTTATTGGATACTTCGCTGCGAGTTTAAGCTCTGTTCCTGCTCTTACAGCTTAACCTCTTGCTCGCGCTCGGATAGGTTTTAAATATAGGTGACGTAAATACTTTGCAATACATTATTTGATTAACCTTTCACATTTGGAGTACTTTGATTTGAAAATTCATAATCATAATAATTAATTATTGACGACATCAGACTTATTATTACATACAGTTATTTAGATATATATTTTATTCGTATATTTCGTATTTGCAACCAATGATTTGAAAAAGTTAAAATCAATCCAAATGACGTGTAGGAGTACAGGATACCCCTGTAATATTTATTGTCCATATTTTATTTATTGTCTGAGATACATATATGTATAGTATATATTATTGTATATATAAATCGATATTTTCTTCAATTCTCACCAAATTTTATTGTCTTTGACGCAGTTTGCTTAACACTCTCATATATCAACGATCGTTGGTGGCAATACTTAGCTTTGACCTAGGGAAATATTTATTGTCATATACACATACAAGACGTTAGGAAAGAGGAATGTAAACAGGTTTCAGTATTTTAGCAGTAAAGGATAGAGTTCTTTGAGGTATACTAATTACACTTAACGTTTCCTTTAAGAGTTTAAATAATAGGGATATGGCTTGCTTTGATATTTATCTCTGTTTTGCTTTGCACTTGTATCAGTTACTTCAGATTTGTAAATATAATTTATATATTGAGAGTTAGAGCACTAGAGATCCTAGATAGTGGAGCCTCTCCAATTAGAGCTTCCGATTTTACTCGTAAGCCTCGGCACTTGGGAGTTCCGCAGGTGTTTTGTGTGACTGCTGGAGGATCTACTTTCAGTTTATTACGGCGTAGTTATACATTCTGGCTACGGTTACGGTAAGGTAATCTGTATCGCATAATTTGGATAAGGAGTATATTATCGATATTTAGTATTCATAATTGTCCGAGTTGCGTCGAAATTCGCGTCGATGCAGTGCTGTGATACGCGGCGGAGTGCCCCAGGAGTGGAACGGGGAGTAGACTGAAGCCCCAGAGCGCAGTAGCGGACGCGGCGGACGTCCCGATGGCAGCAAGTTACTGGAGATGCTGTGCATGCGCGCTGGGGAGGCATCAGGATCCACGTAGTACTTAGACAGACGACCGCGTATGCCAGCACCACTCCAATTTATCATCGGTTGAGTTGGTATGAAACACTGCTTACAAACGGCTGCGGTGGGTTGACGCAGTCGCTCGTGTTGGGGGTAATACCCGACCTGTATGGGCCGAAGAAACCGCTAGAATTATTACATCTCCTTCAGCAGGCTGTTTAAAGGAGGTCTACAGAAATACAAAATAGAAAACAGTTCGCAGTCTATGAACTTGGTCCAGGATGCAGCCGACTTAGTAAAGAGCCACCGAAGCTATGCTACAAAACAAAAATGTTAATACGAAAACGTAGCAGAGAAACTAACATAAGATACAAACAATTCCATAGAAAATTAGATCATGCCAATGAGCTTATACATGCCAATACAAACTGATTTTTCAACTTTAATTTATATACAAAGTTTTTGTTGGATCAGACTTGAGAAGTCCCTACTTCTATATATTTTTCTTCAGTGTGCGTTTGTGTAGTTGTCGTGATAAACGTTGTTGTCCTATAATGTGTAGATACATTTTACTTAAAGAGCGCCGCCTCAAACAAGTACACACTGCGTTTGCAGCATACTTTCGGGCTGTAAATGTAAATACGACTGTCGTAGACCTAGATAAGTATGCGTGAAGTAGTCAGAATAGTAAAACTAATTAATCGTATTCCTTCTATAGTGCAATGATTTTCCTTTTTTTGAGGACCACTTTTTTTTTATTTCCCTTAGAAACATCAGCTTTATAGCCCGCTTTGTAAGCCAATCTAAGGCTGACAAAGGGGCGGAAATTAGCCGATTGTCCCCAACGAAGGATGTCCATGTGCAGACGTATTCGCAATGTATACGGAAATCAAATTTCCGAAAACCATTAAAATGGAAAAACTACATTAAGTATGCTGACGGAAATGTCTGAGAAACTCTCCTGATTGCTGTTGGGGTCTTGGGTGGATAAGATAGTAACGTAGGGACAGGCACAAGAAAATCTCAGGGCTCCTCATGGTCGGAACAAAACAAAGCATTCAAAAAATATCTACAGAAAGTCTATGATCTACGACTTTTAACATGCCACTTCTGGAACGTTTCACTACAACTTGAAAGGAAGCAGGAATAGCCAAGGCCAGAGATAAAAGGTGTTTGGAGCCAATTACTAGTACTCGGAATCATAAACAATAAGAATTTCCACAACAAAGAACGAAAAAACAAACGAAATCAATAAAACAAAAATAAGTAGCACACATCGAACCATCGCCATTTACTCATACAAATTGCCTGGCGTCACGTCCCGAGCGACTGAAACGCCCCCCGGACCCGCCGTAGCCACTACCGCCCCCTGGGCTGCGTAGGTAGCGGTAGCTGGGCATGAATCCGGAGCGGTAAACGGCACCTATGTGACGCTTCTGGGGCGATGGCACCTGCTCGTTCGCCGCCTCCGAGTCCGGCTCCTCTTCCGCCTCGTCTGTGGCTGCAACAGCAGCATTGGCATCGTTGCCATTTTCGATGCCAAACAATTCAGGATCCTTGGAGGTGTCTTTTGGGATAATAATATAAACGTATGTACAGAACTGTGCTAAAGGAAAGTGCCTCATTGCTGCTATCTTAGTGCAGGGTGCTAACAAATGTTAAGTTTACAAAAAGTTTTCGAAAAATGGAGCTAGATACTTTCCATCCGGTTCGGAAGTTGGAGTTCCGTACCCCCAAGACTTCAAGCCAGATTTCCCTGGGTCCAACTGAGTACTCACCTAGGAATCGCTTTTCTGCCCGGCGATAATCGTTCCAATCCAGGTCAGCATAGCCAGCATAGCTGGGGTACCACCAATAGCTCTGCATTGGATCAGCGTAGTCAGGAGCGGCAGCAGGCAGGAGCATCTCTTCGTCCTCACGTTTTTGCTGAACACCATGGACCGGCGAGGATTTCAGGGCTCCAAGGTTCCGTTTCTCAGCACCGACGCGTTGGTTGTGATTCTGCTGCGAGTTATATCGCGCAACGGCAGCCACATTCCGCTTTGGCTGCTCCCTGTGGGTGGAAGGAGCACTCTGAAGGCGGGCCATTGTTGCGATGTTTCGCTTGCCGTTGGGAATGGGGAGCTGGAAGTCACGGGCCAGTGTGCCCACGTTGCGCTTGCCATAGGTCATCAATCCTCCGGCTCTGGCTAGAGAGCCAATATAGCGCTTCTGCTCACTGGGCTCCCCGGAATCTGCGTCGGCGTAATCCTCACCAGGCTCCGCTGTAGGCAGCTGTCCGTTCTTGGCCAAAGTGGCCAGGCTTCTCTTCGGTGCGTTTAGAAGGCCTTGGGCAGCCAGAGCAGCCACCGAGCGCTTATCCTCCTCCACATAGTCTGAGTAATCGCCTAAGGGCTGCTCCTCGCCCACTGGCAGCTGCCGTTCACGAAGTAAGTTCTTCAGTTGATTGCGCAAGGCGGAGGCCTAAAAATAAGGGCATTTACGGGGCAGAATGACACAAAGCAATTTAAATTCAAAGCTTGGGCAGATGTTGCTTTCAGAAGTGGGAATAAATCCTTTAACGTCAAGGATAAATACAGCAGCAGCAGGTGACTTACGTGTAACTGATACTCGGGACTGGGGTTCATCAATTGATTTATAAGGGCCTCCATTTCGCAGGGCGACACATTGCCATTATCATCAGTGGCACTCACAACAATGGTGCTTGGCTGGATGGCCTGAAAGAAAAGAAGAAACATTAAGAAGCCGGAACGTCTATGCTTATTATTGAATGTGTCTAGAATATCAAGTTTGCTCCTAATGGTTCCGGTTTCCAAAGGAAACGCTCTTTGTCTTCAACTTAATTACCGCAATTATTTACACTAAGTCTACTATGAAATGTGACGACATTTTTTTCCATTCGTAGTTTACTTTCTTAGAATGAATGATGGCCGCTCACTCCTCGACTTTTGCTAAAATGTATTTTAAAACTACATTTGAATTGTTTATTTTTTGTTGCCTACTTTGCAGGGCACATTACTGGCTTAACAGCAACGCCATCGATGGCTGATTCAGACAGTGTGGTTCAAGGCACCTGTGTCCCGGTCACATTGACTTATCTGCCGTTTATGTCAGCGTCAGAAAAGTGTTCAACAGGAAAAATTGCAAAAGTGAAAACTGACTAGGCTTACACATGAATGTGTAGCAGAGCTGCAGGATGTGTCTGAGCCTAAGTCATAATATTTTCTTTAACGGTACGACAGCAAGCGAAGGCAGGTCGAAACAGTTTGTTTGCCAAATGGTCGACCAACCAAAAGAATTCCAAGCTGGATGGAAGTTATCTCGAACAAACGGGCATGTGCGCTCCCTGCGAGCCCCGTCTCTTGTGTATGTCTTCCACTTCAACGGAGTTCCGAGGGTAGACCGAGGCACTGAGCTTCCGGTTTTAATAACTGGCCTGCTGAGAGCACAGGAGGCGGAAGGAAGAACACACAGGATGTGTTGCAGGACGTGATGTCTGCCGGCGCCTATGCCCGTAAATCTCATGCAGAAATTGACAGTTTCTTGAGGACACATGCATGCTTAATACAGAGCCGGCTTTCTGTCTTATTAGCACTTGAAATAATAACCTAAAGGTGTTTGCAAAGTCAACAGATTTCATTTGGATTTTGCTTTCTAGTCTATCCAGTCAATACAGAAATGTTGTGCCTCCCTGCAATGGAAACAATGTATCCGTAAATTGGGCCATAAATTTCCCATAGAACATCCATTAATAACAAAGCTGAACATGGTCAAAAATGTTATTTGTTTAAAAAAAAAACACCAGCGTTATTTATCATTCATTCTAAAAATAAAATGAACAAAAAGTTCTCACACAATGGAAGCCACGCCATGAAAATTGAATTAAAAAAATATGTGTAAAAAACACAAAACAGCATTTAAAAACGCCGCAGAGGCTTTAAGACATAGCACTTCCCAAACAGGCAAGGGAAAATACTAAAAGAAGGGGAGGCTATGATGCGTGGGCCTGCATAGACGAGGTATCCTTTCATGGCAACATTAAGTGTTGCGTAATAATTTGTGTGGCTTGTTTCTCGTTCCACGGATTTCGGCACTTTCAAAATGGCTGGGGAGAATGTAAAAAATGTTTAGTTTATGAGCTATTTAATTTACGAGCCCTACTCAGTTTTAGCCGCTTTATTTTTCACGCTCATTAGCAAATGCTGGCTCCGCGGAAAAACAGGATTTCTTTGCCATTGTTTGCATAATTAAATTTCCTGTTAGCCAAGTCCTGCGAGCTCTCAGCAGTTGCCAGCTCTAAGCCTGCGTCTGACAACAAAACACTCCTTTAACTAAAATTTAGCCGTAATACTCATGTAGTGCCAATTACAAGGAGGCCGGTTAAGGAAAAGCTCGACATGGCGGTGGAAATCAATAAGCAATAAAACTGACTCCAATTAAACTCTTTGAGAGCCCTCTCAGGTAGGGAGAAAGGACATGTCCAATAAATGGGAATGGTTCCAATCAGATGGACTGCTTAATTAGGCGTGAGAGTATGCACCCTTTGTAACGGGTAGAAGCCCAATTGCGAATCAACAGCCCAGCGGACAATTTCTTTTTCCAGGGCACAACCGCCTTTTATCCTTACCCTCCCCAGCCACAGCCATCCACTGATTTTCTCTTTTTCTGTGATGCCTGTTGAGCCGCTTATGTCGCCTGAATCCAGCCGCAGGCAAATTATATTAACGCAGACGTCCCCCCCTGTTTTTTCATGCCGTCCATAGGCAATTTAATGGCGTACATTGTTGCTGTTGCTTTTTCTTAAATAAATACCGGGCACAATATTACAACTTAAGTGCTCTGGCCTTCGAGAAAACTCAGGGTGCCTGAGAACCGCGGAGGAAGAGTCTCAAGACCCTATACGGCATTGCGCTGATGGAATTTATTAAGAAAGGTACGGTGAGTGGACAGATACAACATTGCAAGTATAACACGCAAAAATAATCCTTAAGGGCTTCTCCTCCCAAGTAGAGTTTGCTGCGGAATTTCCCTTTTATCGAGGCTAAAAATTTAAGAAACTTTTTTCAATTTGTTCGTCAGAATTTTAAGACCCTCCTTTGCCCTTTTATTGTCGCATCCGTACATTCCGTTGAAATGCCGCCATTAACAGTAATCATTTTATCAATGAAACCCTCATGGAACTTTGCCTTCCAGTTCACTTTGTGGTCAGGCTCAGAAAGAGCCAAAAACTTTCTTATTGAATATGAAAATTATACCTGTTAATTATTAATTCCAAACAGAACTAGACAACGTAAATTGGCGAAATGACCGATTTTCGGTTATTAATTGAAGAGACAGACGAAGAAATGAAACTACACTCTATTCCCTTTGGCTGTTTAATAGTTTTGGTTGTGTTATAATCTTCAAAGTATAATGCTGCTAATGCACTTGTAGCTAGCATGCAAATTTTCTAACATGTTCAAAAATGTGTGCCAACTCGGGGGAAGCTCCATCCCACTTCATTCCGCGTTTTGTAAAGCGTCGAAGCTGATTACCATTGCCGCCCCAATAAAATCTATTTGACTTGCTGGCATTTTAATCAAAATGTCAACTCTCAACTGCCGCACGAATGGAAACAAGGCGTATTGATATGCGAACATCGTTATTGATACATGCAGAATTTTTGTAAGAATATAATTTTGCAGTTCGATCAATTCCTCCCGGCTAAAAATGTATTAGGATAGGAACTTAATTGAATTGAAATAAGACAAAAAAGATTAGGAAAGCTCTAGGACGGACATATATATGTTTTGACTACCCTGGGAAACTTTTCAGACATTTTAAATAAAATTTACGTAATCCTAATGACCCAAAATCATCCTTAGCGAAATATTTTCAGAAGACCTTTAACGAATTCTTTTTCGGGTGGTCCCAAAACTTGGATGAGTGTTTGCCCAAGAAAATTAATGTTTGCATTCTTATTCGACTTATTCTGTGCGTATACGAGATATCCTCAATGAAAGGGAGACGTGGCAGAAGTTAACATTTATTGTTATTGGTTCAGGGCTCTGTTCGTGGATATTGATTTCTATGTTTATTCAATAACCGCCGCAACTGACAATGACGAGTCATATCTTAGATCAAACTAAATCGTTCATATAAAGCCTGATGCAAGAATCGGTACTCATTCCACGTCAATGGTTCGATCCGACATTGTTTCTAATGCAGCGATGCACTGCAGTTGCGATGCAAGTCCAAATTACGGCCATGTTGTGCAGTAGTTTTCATTGACGTTGCAATTGCCGCTGACGTTTCTGGTCTCGCTGACGTTGCGGATACATCTGTACACCCCTACAATTTTCCCAGAACGTTAGGCTGCTGATTACACTCTGCACATAAAGGATATGCAGGAAATATATATTATATCTCATATAAGAAAAATATTAGTTACAGGAAATAATGAAAACGCGTTTTATTAAGATTCAGAAACACAGTTAAATATTTTAAAGCACGTTAAATGGATTTTGAGCTAGCTACATCTATTAAACCGTTTATTTTGCTGTCATCGCAGAGAATCCATTTTGTCATTCTCCGCTCCAGAAAGCAACTTTATACTTTTACCACAAATTTCTTAATTCGCTCTTTCGCAGTGGACTGGAAACAGATTAGAATTTTGAAACTTAAGACGTTCCTAGCGTCGTTTATCTTTTAATTAATGTTTAGTGCGCAGTTAGGAGAAGTTTAGTTACTCAAAGCAGAAAGACTCCTCGCACAATGGAAAAACAATTTTAGAAAGTACTTTTAGTTTGCTTTCTTGCTGGCAGCTATGATGAACAGCTGTCAAGGGAACACCAAGTACCGCGGATATGGAAAATGTCGCCATATGTCAGCGAGGGACAATAGAAATGTCACCCATCCCGCAGGAAATGGTCCAATGCACAGAAAAGAGAAGTGAAAGCGCTAAATGAAAAACTGCACTTTTGGCCTGGGCGCATCGAGCTGGACTTGGCTGGGAAAGGAATTCCAGCCGCAAAAGAGTCATACTTGAGTGGGGCGTGGCTTGGCCAATATAAATTACGGCAAAGTGGACAGAGACCTTGAAAAATTAAAAAAAATGTAATCCCTTTTTCTGACAACGGAAATATACAGCACGAAACTTATCGCTATGACAACATAATTAATGGGAAGCTCACATTTCATTATGCAATAGGTGAGGGTAAGAATATTATATATTGGAGCTTAAGAACACCAAGATGAAGTTTCCTAGGTGGTCCTTATTAAATTTGTTTATAAATAATAAAATCTACGAATTCTTTACGCATTTTCAATTTCCCCTCGCCGGGGCAAGACAGAGTGGGCTTACAAAATTTCGCCAAAATTCATGGTTCACCGCACCCGTCAAACATAAAAAGAAATAATAAAGGATAAGGCATCAGCACGGTCCATGAAATACAAAGACCAAATGCTGCTGATAGCGCTACAAATTTCGAAATTGAAAATATAATCCCAGGACTTACGGCATTGAGCAGCATGGAGAGCAACAGCATCAGCCGCCTGCTGCTGTGTGCAGACTTGTGCACCGCCTGCATCGTGAATGTCCTGGGAGCGGGTTGACTGCAAAGCCCCTGTTAATTGAGTTTCCCTCGCTGACAACGCGACGAAAGGTCCGACCGCACTCGCACCTCCTCACAAATTAAATTGCCTCGAACCGAAAGACTGCTCCTGCGGCACCCACTTCCAAGCCGATTCAACCAATAACGGAAACACACTCGCGTAGCTTCGCTGTTTACCAACTGTAACACCAGAACACCAGAATCGGTCGTCACGAAGTCGTCTGCTCGACTGCCTGCATGTTACTAGGACCCTCGACTTTTATACCCGTGCGACCATCGGATAAGCTCTCTCGCGGGAGCGAAACCGGAGCGCCAAGCTCGGATAATGGCTGTCAACTGTTGCTGTCCTGTCGCTGTGGACGTCGGCCTCTCTGTTGGGCGTGCAGTGTCCTGTTTTGCGGGCCGCTTATGTAGGTAATGACGTCATAGCGGCTGCAGGACACTGGCTCTGTAACTTGTTGGCAAGCCCTGTGTATTCAGGCCATCCGGCAGCACAGTGGGTGTTGGGGAAGAGGCATGGACCTGCAGCAACTGGAGATAATATCGAGCAGCACAGTTCAAAAATATTGTTCAGTCTTCAGAAACCATAATGAAAGTTAAAAATTGGGATATTTGTTCAAGTCATGTTACTTTTCTAAGTCAACTTCATCATCTTGGTTCCACTGTGCGCGGTGTCGCTTACCTCTCTTAGGGACCAATAAAAGAGATTTCGGTTTCATCTCTCTTTGAGCATAAGCTCCAGGCCATATGTCGACGCTCTCAGTGGGGCCGTTAGCTGACCCAAAGCTGGTAAAGCTGCAGGTCAGACGAGAGCACTTGCGCAACGCCAGTGGCTAAATTGACGGCGAACCGGAGATGGAAATCCGAGTTATCCATACGCACTGTGGTCGGCAGTTGGGCGCATCATAACTTTTTGAGACTCTGATTTATGTGACAATTAGTTGAGAATAGTCGAAAATGCAGCACACATACGCTTTAAATATACTTTATTTGAATGATTAAAACCACAATCGATGTTAATGGCAATAGCTAAATACATTTAGGCGTTGTTGAAATATTTTTCTAATTTTAGTACGAAATACTATTTAATCTGATTATCGCATATCAATGGGATGGCAATACATTATCAATCACATCAAATTTCGGATTTAAATATTATTTCTAAATCATACATAGTGTGAAACTAGAACGTAATTCGCTATCGCTTGGTAACACAAAATTAAACAATAAAACACATGAACATAAAAGTGGGGAAGTTATGACAGGTCTGCGTAAGTCCCGAAAATAATAAATAGCCAAGAGCGGAAAAGTAATACCATCTGACATTCCACTTCCCCACATCCTTTTCATGCAAGCTAAATTTATGCAATTTCTAAATACAAAAATTATGAAGCGGAAAAGGCTGAAACGTAACCACCACGCACACGGCACAGTCAGAGCCACTGCTGCGCTCAGATCCCTTAATGCACAGGGAAAAGTGCACAAAGTGCAGAGGCGGTCAAATTCATATGCCTACGTCAGTAGAATCGTGAGTGGGAAGGTCGACTCGCGTCACGCCCCAATGCAGGATATAATACACGGTGGATGGTGCAGCGGAGATTGTAGATTGCTCGCCAACTTAGCCGGTTGGAAAAACCTGGTAGACCGCTGCAGCGAAAAGGCTTTGAGTCTGCGACATGGCCAGCTTTTGTTTCACGCAATCCATGCATAGCTAACTTGGTCAGCAGACCAGAGCAGCAGTGATGAGTTGGTTCATCGCATAGATGCTTATGAATTCATGCCGATTCTAAATGTTAAGCGAATAAATGCTCGCACTCCAATTCTTGCCTTTTTGTACAGTGCCAGCGTTCTTCGAATGGCTACCATAACATTCAGAACAACGCCGATACCTTATAACCTACCTTTTCAATTGATCTAAAGCACCCAAATCAACAAATATATAAGTTCAATTGCCTTGCCATCAAAGTGTAAGCCCGTTCGTAAGCCGTCATGTGGTCACGCTTTAAAAATATCACTCACATAACAATACGTCGGATTCTAATGCGAAACCGCTTTCAGGGACTTTATTGTCCACCAGCGCAGAACGAGCAAATGAATTGGTCCGTACTAAAACTGGTCATATAATTCATTATCACAGCTGTTTGCCACAACGTGCTGTGCATTTTAGCCCAGAACCAAACAGACTGCAAAGCATTTCAATATGCTAATTGGTAATTTTACTTTGAAAGACGGGAATACAAAGTTCCTATACAAAGTTATGGTGAACCGGCAAATCAGCAGCTGTTGGATCCAGATCCAGACATAGCTAAAATGGTACACCACTGTCTATTTAATTTATTTTAGTTTTTCTCTTTTCTTTCTGCCAACTCTGTTTGTCAACGGCAGTAAAAACTGTATGTAAAGGTAGATGCAGGTGTAACTCAAGGTGCGAATTGCAGTTTAAGGTGAAGGTAATGGAGGAGTGTGCGTGGAATATATCATTACATGAATGTGACTTTAAGTAGACAGTATTTCGAAACCCGACTGAGCTTTCATTTGATTGTAAAGATTTATAAATTGGTCGTTGAAAATTGTCACCTAAATCTTAATTTTAGTTTCCCGACTGCGGTATTGTAACTTAGCTTTGTAGCATTACGAGTTAACCGATAAATATTAGGTCATAAGCTCATCCTAATAATAAATTATAAAGAAATGTTCAGAAAATGATAAAATATTAATATCGGACGATTACAAGATAATAAAATAAATGTCATAGATAGAATGAATGTTTAAATTTGGGAGTTTCGCAATAAGGCAATAAAAAGCAATAAAAATTTTGAATTTTTCATTTACAAGCTTTATTTTGATTTCATATGAAATTAGAAAATTCATTGTTCTTTCGCAATCAAAGTTGAATTTAAACCAATTGTAAAAAAATGACTTTGAAATGCAAATCATATTTAAATTCGAAGGATTTGAATAAAAAATGTATATTTTACATATTTGGAGTGTGTGACTTAAAAATAGCATACATAATATTACTTATGTTTCACATAGGTTTACATTTTAGACATATACATACATCGTTTTATAAAGCGCGGTCTATAATATCATCCCTAAATAAGTTTTCAAACATTTTCAGTATTTCTCTACTTGCTATCAATGTGGCTTACTAATTACAAAATGAGAAGCCAATTAAACCATAAGATTTATGTTTTGCATTGCAAATAAAATATATTTCTACATAAACGTTGTATATATGAATATATGTTTGTTTTTATTTTTACTTTTGATTTATTTCCATTTGTGAGGGATTCAGTTTAGGAATGTAGTACGTTAATTTCTTGATCATTTCAATTCATTTCGCTACATGCATGCGCATACGTGTTAAATGAGAAGCCTTGGGAAAAGTATAAAAAATATCGACTTTTGCTTTTCGTTCTCACACCAAATTTCTTCCCAATTCCGGAGTATCCTAATGCCTAACTCCTTTCGTAGCCTATAATGCCTATCTGCGCTCTGAAAGACGGGTACAACAGGTACAACAACAACAATTAAACGCTATACTAAGTCCGGAGCTCAATTCCATCTACAGACTCACGAAAACTGTAAGCAGTAGCGTCAAAAAAGCCGAGCCTTCAGTAAAAACCGACCCCGCTGCGTTGACCCCGAAGCCTGCCAACGCCACGTCCTTGCCAGGATTAGACGCCATGTTCTCGGGGGCATCATGGGAGTTAACTTCGTTGCTAGACGGTGAGTCGTGCAAGGTCTTCTCTAGCGTATCGGCACCCGAGTGCTGCACCCCTTGGTCCTTCATATGGACCAGAGGCGGCTCGTTGATGGGCGTGGGCTCATTGGTGCTAGTTGTGGTGGCATGTGTCGTGGTCGATGTGGAAGTTGTCGTTGTGGTTGTCGTTGTGGGCACCAGGGTTCCATTTTCAATCCAGTAGACGGGACTGAATTCGAGCTTTACCTCCTTCAAGTAGCTCTTGCGCACCTGTAAATTTAAATAATTAATCATTTCATTTCACACAAGTACAAACTAAAAGAGAACTTGCCTCTGCGCTGATCGTGCGGGACACGCTTTCATCACTGCCGTAGTAGAAGGCAAAAAGCGTGCCATTGTACGGTGCCTCCAGAGTCACATAATTGCCGCGAAGGGTTACATTAATGGCTGTGCCGGGCCAGAGCTTCGTATGGACTGCCTTGTTTTCTGATCGTTTCTCAGTGTGCTTCAAGGCCCAGTTTATTTCGGCTGGGACGGCTTGATCTTTTTCGAATATTTTTGTAGGCAGACCTCGAGCAACACCCTCGTGGGATCCCCAATACTGATTATAGTCGAAGCTGTAGCTAAAAATGGTCTCCACAGTGCTGTATTTGTCTTCCAGATTTTCCAGCTTCCTAGTAACTACGAAAAACATTGATCTTACTAATATGCTCCGGACTACTTCAAATTATTCTTACCCAATTCAGTCATGTTCACCCGAGTCTCGGTGCGCAGGCGATCCAGTTTGATGTTCTTGAGCTCATATCGGAAGGGCTCTGTCTCGACTAAAACCTCGCCATCGTCATAGTATTTTTCTCGTTCGTTCTCTATAACCCTTATTTTACCCAAGCCCAGAGGTTCCCAGTGACCCAAGTTAAAGTCTGCTCCCCAGTGGGTGGCAACACCCTCCCCATTCCGTTGACTTGGGGCCCGGTGCCGTCCAATGTAGGAGTCGTCTCCGATTCGAATGGCACCAACCGGAACTCCAGCATCGAATTTACGCCAGTGACGCCAGCCAACCTTTCCTAGGTGACCTTTGTTCATTAGGACGTCAAAGTTGTCGTACCTGCCGTGCTTATAGTGGGCCGCAAGGCAGATGTGTCTTTGAAGAATTTTCTCAGTGTGGCCGGACACCTGAATGCCGTCGATGGGCACACGGCATACGTAGATGGGGTAATGCTCATCCTCGGTTATGTACTTTCCACCCTCCACGGCGAACTGTAGCTGCGTGGCATCCACGGGATCATAGCTCTCCCACACCAGTGTGCTGGAGGTGACCAGCTGACCCAAAACCGAGGAAGCGTTCTTGTGGGTAAATACCGGGTGTTCCGCCGCCGTCACTGGTGCCAGCGATTGTATTAGGACTAAGAGGCAACCAAGGATAATGCAACTACTACTTGAGGCCATTCTGCTGATTGTACTTTTTTGTGGTTGGACTCTGACTTTTGTCATTCCAGCTTGTGCCCAGAATAGGTGGGAAAAACCTATAAATAGATCAAAATAAATAGATACAAGAATTAGCCAGTTTTACTATGCATGAGGGAGGGACTGCGGAAATTAAACTTCCATTCTACCAACAATAATTTATCCCAGCGAATTTGTGTTTTCCTATCAACACCTTAAAAGTAGACACCTTGGAATGCCAAATCTGTCTGTTTTGTTTTTGCCCAAGCGAGTGTGTCTGCGCCAAACAACTTAACTTCTTCACCCCCTGCTTGCTATTAGTTGCATCAATACCGCCACAGCATTGCTGTCCCTTTGAGAAGCTTCCAACAAAATTTGTCGCTTGTTTGCACAACTTTCGTGCGGGAACACGGCGTATACGTAACTTTATAACTTAGTTGCTAGGCGGAAAGGAGAAGGGCACTGAAGGTTTGCTAAAGCGGAAGTGACTGGTCGCCATGTTTATTCATTAGCAGACATTGTGTTCAGGACACGGACAAGCTTGACTTGTGGGCACAAGGGCAAAGGACACATCCACTGCAGCATGAAAACAGTTTGTCTTCGTCTAGTGTCCCATTGTGCTGTCCTGTCCTGTCTCGTCAAGTCTAGCCCAGAGCGTTCGACCCTAGGGTTCCTGCACTAGGTCCCTGACCACCCGTTTGCTCCCAACTCCACCTTCGAACCGTAGCGTAACTGTCTGCAACGGATATGAGATGATAAGGTTACATGCAACATCATTTGTTGCCCTGACAAATGATGTGTTATTGTGATAGAGTTTCAAAAGCCGAATGCGGCGAGAGGAAGGTGACAGCGCAACCCGTTTGACCGGGGCCAAGTTGCTTTCGAGTGTTTGGAGTTTAAATGGGGTGGGTCAAAATGCATAAATAATGCAAGAGGAAGCAGATAAAGAAAAACCTATTTCTGGCATTGTGTTCAGTGGCGATGTTTCCTTGCTCCGACAACTTGCTTGTGTTGAAAGCCTTCGCTTACAAAGGCAATGAAATAAAATTCCGATTCAATCATGCTTTTTATAAGTACCACGCTGAGGTAATGCTGCTCTATCTGCAACTTCCAGCTACACTTATCGAGCTCCAAGTAAGTATTCAGTAAAGGCAGTAACTTGCCACTTGAGGCACTTGCGAAACCGTTACATTCCAAAGGCCATCGCCGGAAGCAACTGTCATTAAAACCTCGCTGGGTGCGGCCGGAGGCAGCAACTTATGGAGATCCATATTTCGAGGCATAAATTGACCTCTGGTCACCGGCCGCATTGCTGGTGTGTTTTTGCGCATGCAATAAATGTGCTAAAAATAGCTTAAGCGAAGGCCCGGCAATCGGCGAAGGCAACGGAGAAAATAATTTATTTAAGGCCCAGCATAGTTGCACAATGAAGGAGCCTCCCCGACCCACTTGCATTAATTCAATTGAGCGCTCTGGCAGCGCAGAGATCGGGATGTGGAATCTGATCGCCCTGTGGCGTAGGAGTTTGGAGTCCAGGGTACGCCATAAAAAATATGGTGAAAGTTCACGTGGTCTTTTATTGAATCACACGGCTTGCAACATTGTTTTCAGTTCCGTCTACAGGTTGGTTTATTTAGATTTACGAGCAAGAGGGTCTGGTGAAAGGTCTGCGGGTTCTTCAACAGCGATAAGGGGGAGGCAGTTTAATTGGATTTTATTGAACTTTGACTCTGACCCTCATCGACACGAAAGTTGCAACAAGTTGTTGCGATGCACATGCATGTGCATCACGAGGTCGCGCACAATTGATTCTGCCAGTTGTTTTGAATTATAGTCGCAGTTCTTTCTTGCAACAGCCACAGCAGCCTTCATTCTGATCCCCATTACCACTATGAGGGCATGACCCGAGTATCAACCAGCATAATTGGGCATCGTGCTGTATGAATTTGACATTACAATGATCTGGCATCCGGCAGTCTCCACACTTGATTTCTCACATCGCAGTTGAATGTCGCTTGCAGATACAGAGTTCAGTGCACTTGGCATTGCCTTGAAATACTTGTACAAAATTATTGAGAAAACCATTAAAAAACTGGTAGCCGGCCAGCCAAGTTTTCCCGGCAATTTCCATACTTAATTGAGCTCCTAAGTGACCATCAGAAGGCAGCTAAAAGCCAAACTCATTCTCAGATTTAGAAATAAATTATTTGGGGAGTTGGATTTTCGTTTTATAAAATTCAAGTGGAAAGAAAAACTAACAGCTTTCGTTTAGGAATGTACGCCATAAATCAACGCCACCTTCACTTAACCACATTAACGAGCAATTACTTCGAGGTCATGGATCAGATTCATATAAGATTGACGATAGTTCGTGGATGATTTAACATGACCTAACCTGCAGGCCAACGAATCTTTTCTTGAGAAGTGGAAATCATTTTATTTATTGATTGCTTACAAAACCAAATACGAGTGCATTCATTTCCCTCGAATTGATTAAGTTAGTGATGGCTAGCCAAGCATTTCCAACTTTCAATACAGTCACTTCTTTCTTTTCAATTTAAAACAATTAAATAATTGTGTTGTCCAACGTTGCATATTTCTCCATAATTGTTTTTCCATTTTCCACAAGACTTAATTGGTGGTTCAACTGGCTCGACTCTTTTGCGGCATTTCCTTACATACCACAATACCTAGCTGAGTAGTTATTTTTTAAATTGTACGATTTTGTACGATATATGCCTTTCAAATGTGTTATGACCCAAAGCTACGTTTTATCTTGCTTATATAATTATTCATTAGATTTCAAATTTGCAGGCTATCTACAAACAGGTGACCCTATGTAAGTTGCCTCCCACGCCATCGAGTGTTCACGTCTGCACTGTTTCCCTCCCCCCAACTGTTCGCGGCTTCCAACCCTACTTAGCCAAGCAGACCAGCTAACCAACGAAGCACGGCCCAACAGAGACCAAACCACTGGCTGTGCCAGTCGGTATTTTTTATGTCCAAAATGAAAAAAACAAGAAAAACATAGGAAATTACTGCGCTGATGCTTTTTTGCTGCCAGCGGTGCAGTACAAGAACCGTTTTTAACTTAATTATGTTTCCAGCACAAAATAACAAGGTAAGATAGTATAAAACGCAGAACACGTGCTATACATGTCTGACCTATAGGCTTGGATAGCTGATTAGGGGGCCTGAATCCCAGAGGTCGAAGAACTACGGTTTTAAAATGTTACACATTTATGTGCAATATTTTTAAAGATTTTTTCATATATCATTGTCTCATCACAAATGCAATCCGACAGCCTGGCAACCAAGCTCAGACCTCATCCCCTTTCCCGTACTTGCAGTGTTTGCCCAGCTGTGGCACAAGTCAAATATGCGCGAGTCTGGCCCAAAGTTTTCACACCCCGATCGAAACATGGCGTGCCTATTTCCATATGTATGTTGCATCAATTTGGTCGTCTGGAGCAATTTAGCTGCAGCTCAGGTGGGGTCGGCCTCTGGCGCGGCTGTTGGTGGACACATTAAATTGAATGTAACCTGCACGTGACAAGGTACAGGCCTGCCCCACCTCGTACTGCGGAAAGCGTTCCCTCAGTCGGCTCGAATTTACATTGTTTGCAAAGCGTTTCCACTCCACTCAATTAATTTAATGGATCAATCGATCGCCGTGTTTGATTGAAGAGCCACAGTCGCTAACAGGCTGGGAAGGTGTTCTGATGCTGGGTCTATCCACTAATTACCACTTGGATAGCCGCCGCTAAAAGAGACCGACCAGGGAACGCACACTCAGTCTTTTCTCTTACTGCACGTATTACCTTTAAAATGCTGGAAAACTTGGTTATACCTTGATTCAAAACTCGTTAGCTATTCACTATCAAACTGGTTTAAGTCTGCTTCGTTTTCAATTATCAAATTATCAATTTCCTTAGTATTCAATGCAAATTTCGATCTCATAAATTTTTAGTTTTAAATTAAACCAGTTTTTCATAAAATACCAGAAAAATCTCATCTTAAATTGATTACATTAAATACAGACTTTGGAATGTTTAGGATAAGTAAAAAACTAAAAAGTCATTCTAATATTAAATCGTGTTTAGATCAATGAAGAGAAATTAACAAATATTTACTGAATTCGTTAAAAAAAAGAATAAAATAATTTGTAAGAAGTTATAGCCCCATTTTTAACTTCATTTTGTAAATTCATTTTGACCAAAAAACACACATTTCTAAAAAGCCCTTCATTCTATATTCGAGCATTTCAATCTGGTCTGATCCAGATCTGATTTGAAAACGTCCTCCTCTACCGGAAGGTTTCTTCATCATAATGAACAGATATAGACACGGGGAGTATACGAAATCCTCGGGAGGAGAACTATTTTAGGATGGGTGAGTGGCCCAAATGATCTTGAACCCCCTATCGGACAGTAATTCGTTATAATTGATTTTTAATTACGCACGAAGAGCCGAACAAAGTATGGGTTCTGGACAAACAGCACTAAAAGCTCTTCAAGTTGGTTGCCTCCACTGAATTTAATAATAACACAATACGCAATTTTCCCTGCAGTCTCTCGACTCGAAATTTGTTCTTGCTAATGATGTATTTCGTATTCTCGAATTCTGTATATTTATCCATACAGAAAAAATCATTGAACCCTACTTGAGATGGCGTAGTTTCCAAAATTGGTCATGGACCGTTTGAGAGCACACCACATGTGCTTTGAGCGCTCAGAGCACTACGTCATCGTTAGAGCACTTAAAACTAGCAAGGGAAAACAAAGCAAAACCGGTACCGCTCAGCGCTTTAAAGCCAGTAAACCACGTGCTTTCTGAAATTGTTACCGCCAAAAGTCAGTTTGGAGGCCAGTGGGCGTAGTAACGAAGCACACTGGGAGAAGGTCCGAAGGCAACTTCTACTCATAATGAGTAACACACCAACGAAACAGTATCACTCCAACTTACAAAGCCCTAACCAAGATTATTATTATACTGATACTGATATTTGTTAGGGGTATGTCCTAAGTTGAATAAGCAATTATTGGGATTATCACGTTAAATCTTGTATATATTGACGGTG